AGAGGGAATAGGCACTGCTATAAATGAGAACAGTTTTCCAGGCCTTGGAAATTGAGGTTAAAAATCCAGTTGCTTCCAGAAAACTGCTCTGAGTCAGTGGCTGGTGCCTGCAGATGTTGGTTAAAGCTCCACAATTGGCTTTGTCACCTGAGACACCCTGAGATGTTGTGCAGGAACTGTGGCTGGAATAATTCCCATCACCTGGGGTGTGAGAGGATGTTTTTAGTAATAAAGCTGCTTTTCTCCCAGGAAATTGAGCTTGATTGAGGTTTTTTGGCTTTCCTGGAGCAGCCTGCAGCTCTTGGGCTGGGAGTGCTGCTCCCACTTGAGCTTTTCCAGGGAATATTATCTGATGTGGCTGAGGCTGAGCTTCCTGCTCACCACGACTCTGCTGATTTTATTGCCCCAGGTGCAGCTGCCAGGTGCCACCAGAGCAGCAGTGGGACACTCGGTGCCACCTCTGATGGCAGCAGGTGCAGTCACTGCTGCTCCCCTCCAGAGCCCTGGGCACTAAAACTCAGCTCCAAACCAAAATAGCTGCAGGGCAGGCACCTTGTCAGAGCTGGGAGATGGAGCTGAGAATGTGAGGGGAGGAAAGAGAGAAGGCTGGGCATGGAATCATGGAATCCTGGAATGGTGTGGGTTGGAAGGAGCTTTAAAGATTATCCAGTTTCACCCTCTTGCTATGGATGGGAGCAGCTTCCATTAGACCAGGTTGCTCCAAGCCCCATCCAGCCTGGTCTTGGGTGGATATTGAGATATTAGAGCATGGCAGGTCTGGGCCAGGGATGAATTACAGAGGAAGGAGTGATTCTTTGGAGGGGAATTGCCAGAGAAATCATAATTATTTCTTCTTCTTCTTTTTTTTTTTTTTTTCTTCCCAACACCTACATAAAATTGGGTTTATTTTCTGGTTATTCTGGCTTATTTTCATTTTGCATAGTATAGGCTGAGGGAAGCCCTTAAGGAAAAAGAGGATTTAAGGTGAAAGCATCTGCTGCTTCTGCCTGCAGAGGGTGAGGAGGGAGTTTTGGTCCTGCAGCACTGAAAGATGCTGCTTGCTCTCCTTGTTCTCATGCACTTCCCAGATTTTTCCATTTCTTTGCCATGAGATGAGTCCTGCAGAGGGTGGACTGAGGGGATTATCCTGACCACAGTGTGTTCTCCATGGTGCAGGAGGGCTGCACTGATCTGAGCCAGCTTTAACTGTATTCCAGCTCCTCCTCAGCCAAAGCACTTTTCTCCAGTGCTTTTAGACCAGATTTTGGGCTGAAGTGGCACTTTCTGTGCTCAGAGCTCTGACTGGCACTGTCACATAGCTCGTGGCACTTCAGCCAGCTCTGCCTTCCTCTGAAGGTGCCAACTTGCAATGATAAAGATGAGGGGAATGCCAATTTGGAGATCTTAAACTTTCCCCCAGGAAATCTGATGCATATGAAAAGGTGTGTCAGTGTTTTGCTTCTTTTTTTCTTTTGTATTACGGTACTTTTATTTTAATTTTTCCTAGTAAAAAACTGTTGTTCCTATTCTCATATCCTTCCCTGAGAGCCCCTTAATTTGGAAATTATAATTTGAGGGGAGGGGGTTTACATTTTCCATTTCAAGAGAGGCTCCCTCCTTTCTTAGCAGACACCTGTCTTTCAAACCAAGACAAGGTGTTTAACTCTGCCCTTTCTCTCTGAAGCAACTGCTCCTGGCAAAGATTTTGAGGTGTTATTGGGACTTTTGTATGGAAACTTGATCGGCACAAATTCTGCCACAGCCACATCAGATCCTGCTCGGAACTTCTGCAAAACACCCATCAGACTTGCAGAGGAGCTGAACAGCTTCTGCTGTCGCTTGTGGCATCTGCTGCCCTTCAAGCACTCGGTGAACATCAGGGAATGGGAAGGGAAAAGTCTGCCAGGGCTGGAGGCAGGGCTGCAGCTCACAGGGAAGGTGCATCTGCCACCACAGAGCCTGTGTCACCTCGAGGTCACCCTGCATTTGACAGGCGTGAATTGCTCCTGGTTTCAGACTCCTGGCAGAGGAGATAGGCTGAAGGATTCCAAAGAGGAGTGCTCTGAAAGCCTGGAGGTGGTTCAGTGACAGAGCAGACACCTGTCTGGCAGTGCAGTTCCTGTCCAGCCCAGGTTGGGGATTATTTGCAAGCCCAGTGTTTTGTCCGTCCCTTGCCCAAGGGACACGAGGCTCGGCTGCCTTTTGTTCTGCTCTTTCCTCCCCTATAGAGGGAGGAACCGAGGATGCTTCCCTTGCCAGAGTCCTCGCTGACCTCTGCCCAACCCTCTGATCCTACTCCACCCTTGCCCTTCTTCCAGCTCCTGGGCTACTTCTCTCCTGTCTCCAGCCCTCCCTGTTTTCAGAGACCACCACTGCCACCCTCTTTTCAAACCAGTTTCATTGGTTGAGGAGGGGAATAAATAGTTTTCCCTGCTTGGCTTTTCCCTATCTACCCATCTAATTCCATCAGGACAGGGAGGAAAAGCTCAGCCCTGTTCTCAGAGCTCAAACCATCCTTGTTTGTCTCCCATCTGACCCAGTGAGTGGGAAGGTTGGAGATGAAGCTCAAAACTTCCCTGAGGCTGCAATTCTGGATGTGGTTGAGGTGCAAAAATCCTTCCCCGGGCTGATTTTTTTTTCTTTGCAGGGCTGGCCAGACTCTCCTGGCGCTGAGGGGAATGTCAGCACTGTGGGTGCTCATCTTTGAGGAGAGGTTATGGTGTCCATCATGCATTTTGGAGGAACCAAACCCCAGCTTTGGGACTTAGTTTGGGATTGAGATGCTTGTGTGGGACTTCTGATGGCAGCACACACCTTATCTGGCTGTTGTCCATCCCTCCAGGACATCCCTGCCCCATCTGCCAGCAGACATTTCATATCTGGTGGTGCCCACAGCGTTCAGGTGTTTCCTGTACTTTCCTCACCTCACTTTTTTTCTGTCTGGACAAGATTCCATCATGCAGGGATGCAAACACCCCGAGCTCTGCCAGCAGCACAGGGTGATATCCTCGCTGTGCTTTGCTGGATGGGGACAGCAGCACCCTGGATGCTTTTTGAAGCTTTCAGAACATTTCAGACAAGGCTTTTTCACATTTATTCCTGTCAAGCTGTAAGGTGAAGGAGGCAGAGATCAAAAGGGGGGGTTAATCTGAGGGGCTTTATCAGGTTTCCCACACCTTTGATAAGCAGTTTAGGAATCATCTGGGGGCTTGAAGCTCCTGCAGCCCCTTTGCACCCTCTGAGCCCTCTGGAGGGATGCTGAGCTCCATTAGCTCGTGGCAGGAAATGCTGCAGCTCCTGTCCTGTGTCACCGAGTTTCTGTTTGTGGCCTCACTCCTCTGGGTTTGTGTTTTGTGGTGGAGAACTGTCGGCTCAATCCCTCAGAGGCAGCATGTGCTGCTTTCAGCTGCTGCCTCCACGTTTGCTTATACGAGGCTTTAAAAAAAGCCATCAATATTTTAGTTTCCGTTCAAGCCTCTGCCTTGAAGCTTCCCCTTTTCATTTCACTGTAGTGCCTAGAGCCAGCTAATGAAATATCTCCCTCCTGCTTCAAATTAGGCATAAAAGACTTGTCAGAAGATGTGGAGAAGCTGCTGAATAATCCTGGTAATGTAAAAATCGGCATTCTATAATGTCCCTAATTCTCCTAATTAAACATGATGCATGAGTGTGCTACAAGAGTCCTCCAGCTGCTCTGTAATGAGATGTTACAGGGACCAGTTTGCTGTTGGATGAGGCTGGGTTAAACTCTAATTAAAGCCTCGCAAAAGGCTAAGGAGTTGTCTGGTGTAATTAAGAAACTTGTCTCACATTCTCAGTGCTGCCCCCCCCAGTGACCTGCTCCTCTGCCCCGTGGGAACTCTGGGTCTCTCTGTCCTTATCAGGTGTCTCCTTAGAAACTTACTTTATTTTTTTTTAAGTTTTTTTTTTTAATTTTCCCACCTGTAGTTTCAAATTGCCGCGTTGCAGCGGCGCGGCCTTGGCTCGGTGAAGGTGCTGGGTTCAGGGTGTGTAACAGTGGTGGGAATTTGCACTGTTTAATTAGTGGTTTGTTTCAGTTTCTTTTGCTTTTATTCAGAGTTAGGATTAAAGAATACACGAAGGAAACTAATTTTTTCGTGATTGGGCTTGGTTGTTTATTAAATTTTATTAAAAAGTACAGAGAGTTTAACAGCACTTCTAGTTACTTGTTAGAAGCGAGGAAAATGGAGAAAGATCCAGCTGCTACAAGGTTTCTTAAAGCTAAATAGTTTAATAGTTAACGCTTATGTTATTTATTTTTTTAACCTAATAACGAAATTCTCTTAGTGTGACACTGGCTGACTAACTAGAAACTACTGCCTGTAACTCATGAATAATAAGGAAGATGATCACTAGAAGAGATACTACAAAAATCCTCCATCTTGTCCAATACGTATTTCTATAGTATAAAAACGTTAAATTTAAACCTTTTACCATGTGAAATCACACTTCTATTTAACTACACACCCATGACTTTAACTCCATCACTCAAATTTGGAAGCTTCTCCAAGGCCTCAGGTCAAAAGCAGAGTTCTCCAGGGGGTCAGTGTCGGAAAGCACAAAAAACTCAAAAAACCCAAGATTTTAGGATCCAACCTTGGTGTGCTGGGGCACAGCTCTTGCTTTTGGCAGTGTTATTTTATGCAGCATTTCCCTCCCCGTGGTGTTTTTTTACCTGAGGGCAGCGAGGCGTCGGGGCTGGGCCTTGCTGCCCTCGCCGTTGGCCTCACAGAGGGCAGAGCCGCCGTGGCCACCCCAAAACACACCAGGGGCCATTCCCTGAGGGCCCTGGGCCCAGCGGGGCCTCGCAGCCGTCCCCTCACGAGGCCCCGGCGGCGGCAGAGCCTCGGCAGCCATGGACTCGAGCTCGGACTCGGACTCGGACCTCGACACGGACACGTCCTCCACGCCGACGCCGCCGACGCCGGTGCACAAGGACAGCCTGCGGCCCTCTCATGGCACCCCCATCTCGTTGTCAGGGTACCTCAAGTGCGACACGGACGATGTGAAGGAGGAAGGGGCGGGCGAGGAGCTCTTCGACGGCGTCAACTCCACCATCGTGTCCGGGGACAGCATCCGCTTCTTCGTCAACGTCAACCTCGAGGGCCCTCCCAGCGCCACCGGTGAGTGGCCCCAAAAAACACGCAGGGATGGGAGGAGGGGTTGTTCCTGGTGGTGGGATCACGATGGGTTGGGTTGGAAAGGACCTTAAATGTCATTTCTTGAAGGGTAGGGACACCTTCCACTAGGCCGGGTTGCGCCCTGTCCAGCCCATCCTTGAACCTTTGCTTGTGGCACAGTGTTTTAATATCCTCAGTATTGCCTGTGATAAATGGGGGAGGAAGATGGCCAAGCCCTTCACCAAAAACTTCTTTGTTCATTTCGTAGGTGATTTTGAACTTCTTTTCTCCTGCACAAAATCAAACAAAATCCTGTTCACTTGATTTCCCATAAAAACCAGTGCTGATGTTTAGTGAATCCTTTGAAAAGTAAAGCTGGAAGAGGTAGGGAATACAGATCTAAACTGAGATCCCACATAGTGCCAAGCCAGGTCTGAGAGACAGAGGTTTTAGGAGAGGATAGAAATCAAGTCATACAGCTAAAGAGTTTTTTTTTGTGGCTGGTGGCTGTGACAATCTTGTTTAGCTGTAGCAACCATTTTATTTTTCTAGAACATGTTTTCAATTACACTAAGATAAGTAGTTCTGAAGTTAGACAAAACTTAACCTTCTTTACTCCCTGGAAGTGTTCAAGGCCAGGTTTGGATGGGGCTTGGACAACCTGGTCTGGTGGAAGATGTCCCTGCCCACGAAAAGGGGTGGAATTGGATTATCTTTAAGGTCCTTTCTCACCCATTTTGTGATGGCTGGATTTTGTTGGATGTGACTGGGAAAACACAGTTCTCAGACTCTGCAGGAGCCTGGGCTTGTCCCAGCAGCTGGAGCCTTGGCTATTTTAGAGGTTAAATGCACAGACTCTGGATTATTCTTGGTGTCACAGCGTCAGAGAGTCCTTTAAGTTTGTTAAAAGTTATTTTTAGGTTACATGCAAACCCCAATTGATCTGCAGTGAGTAATTACTGGGAATGGTAATGCAGATTAGGCACGGCCTGGATCCCTGTTTGACTGTCTTGTAGTCTGCTTTTTGACTCTAAGTGATGGCTTGAACTTAGGAATAATATCCAGCAATTTCCAAGCCTGCAATTTTACAAATGCCATCTTAATTGAAAGATTTAAGGGAGCTGTGCTCTGCTATGACAAGTCTGGACTTAATGCCGTGGGGTGCATTGTTTGGGGATGAGGAATGCAAGTGCTGTGGATTCTTCTGCATCTGAAGAAGTTCACTTTCCTTGTGTGTCCTCCTGGGCTTTTTTTGTTTTCCCTTCCATTCAAAACAGGACAAAAAAGGCTTCTTTATTTCCCTGAAGCACTGCTGTTAGTGGTGCTGCTATTAGTTGTATCCTTTTTTTTTTTTTTTTTTTCAGCCAAGATGTTTAGGATTTTTAAGGAAAAATATGTTTCTGCTGTGCTGGGGTCCTGCTTTGGATGGAAGGCTGGGGATTTTTAAAATGAACTTCAGGCAGAACAAAAGCCCAGACTTTCAATAATGTGAAAAAAGAGGATTTTTGGGGTTTTTTTTTCCCCCCATTACAGCATCAAAGGGATCCAGGTAGCCTAAATCCAGCTTTTTCACTGTTAGGCAAAGAATTCATCAAAGTCCAGATGTTGGAGTCATCTGGGCTATCAGTTCCTTTACAGAGATGGTTTTACTGGAATTTCTTCCAGGTTGGATTTTACACACACCAAATCAGTCTGTGGCTGCAACAGGGCACAGCTGATCCTCCTGGAGGGGTGACTTTTTGAGTGGCTGAGATGAGCCCCTTAAGCTCTTCCAAGAAAAATACCCTGAACTTCTGGAAAAATACCCAATTCCCAAACTGAGGTTTAATTATGCCAGAGCCAAGGTGTGTCTGGGAGTGAATTGTTCAGAAATTCCCTTCCATTGCTGCCACTCTTTGGAAGATTTGGGAGGGTTTTTTTTTTTTGTACTCAGGTTTTGATTTCCTAGAACAAAGCTGGAGCTGAACTTTTGCATGGATTGTCCAGAGTGAGACAAGCTGGAAAGGAGGGGGAAATAAAAGTAGAGTTTCTCCAGGTGATGCCAGAGGCCTCAAACATTTCTTATCCCTGGGAAGCTGGTGCACCAGGATCCTACAAAATCCTCTGCTGCTCCGAGAGCACAGAGGAAAACCAAGCATGGGAATGGAATCTTTGCATCCTCATCTTATTTTCCTGTGTTCTCCAAGCTGGGTGAAATGTGTGAGTCCAAATGTGCTCTCTTGGCTGAATGTGGTGCCCAAACTCTCTCCTGCTGGAGACTTTTTTGGGTCAGCTGCTGTGAGGTTGCTGCCCACCTTAATATAGGGCTAAAAGATCCAAAATTCCCATTTAGGGATCCAGGTGCTGGCAGGCAGTGAAGGTGGAATTACAGAGGCAGTGACAGCTCTGCATCATCGTGTTGAGCTGTTCCTCTCTGTGTGATGTGTGTGTGCAGCTCTCCATGAGCATAATTGGATGCTCTCCACTCTAATTCTGTTTTTAAAAGATCACTGTGTGGGATTAAGCTTTGAGCTAACAAAACGCAGCACGACCCATAAAATTCCAACAATTGACCATTGACATGAAATATTGGGCTTTGTGTGTAAAACAGGATGGCTTGAAGAAATCTGGGGTTCAAGGTCTGGCCTGTTTTATTTTTAATTAATACTGGTTGCCTTTGCAGGGAATGCTGAGCCCAAAGCAGTTCAGATGCCTGAGCACTAAAATGCTGCTCAGAAGTGACATTTGGGTCATTTCTCCTGGGTGTTTCAGTGCTCCCTTGTGTTAACTGATGAAAAGATTTTTTTTAAATTCTCTTCTGCTTTTCATCCTTGTAAACTTGGATTTTGGTGGTAACATTTGTTTTCAGCAAATGTTGGTAGCTCTAACAGGAAGGTGGGTGTTTATCTGAACCTGGAGGCTTTTGGACCTGGGATCTGCATTTTTGGGGGAAGATCAGGGTGGTTTTTAGGCTGAGTCTTTTTCTGAAGTCACAATATAAATGCTTGCAAGTAAAATCACAGAATTGTTTGGGTGGGAAGTGACCTTTAAAGGTCATCTAGTCCAACTCCCCTGCAGAAAGCAGGAATGTTTTCCACTACACCAGTTTGCTCCAAGCCTCATCCAACCTGGCCTTGAACACTTCCAGGGATCCAGGGGCAGCCACAGCTTCTCTGTGCAACTTGGGCCTCACCACCCTCATTGTAAAAAAATTTCTTTTTCAGCTCTAATCTAAATGTCCTCTCTGCCAGTGGGAAGCCATTCCCCTTTGTCCTGGCACTGCAGGCTTTTGTCCAGGAAAGCTTTATCTGCAGCACACCTGGAATTAAATCCCTGCACATAAATACAGCAGTTTGGTTTAGGCTGGGCCTTAAATTTAATGGTTAGGTGATGCAAGCGAGTTTTTGCAATATGTGGAGACACATCCTTGCCCTCAGTCACAGCATTCTTATCTCCTTGGCAGCTCCCTTAGTTCAGCCAGGCACACATTTTCGTCATTTGGATGTTGGGTTTTTTTCGGTTTTACATTTTAAAACAATTATTTGGATCTTGGTCGTCTTTCAGTTTTAGGTTTTAAAACAATTATTTGGATCTTGTTCTTGTAATTTGGGGTTTTAAAACAGTTCTTTGGATGTTGTTTTTGTAGTTTGAGGTTCTGAAACAATTCGCCTTCTCCTCACCCACATTGCAAGAGGGGTTTGCACAGTATTTTCTTAAATTTAGGCACAATTTATCAAGGATTTGTGGAGCTGCAGCTGCCTAACTTTCCCCCCTTGCAGCTGAAGCTCGGACTGGTGATTTTCGAGCAGTTTTGGGGAGAACAAGACCAACTCCTGAGGGCAACAAGAAGCCAATTGGCGAGCAGGATGTGGCTCTTGCCGGGGTGTGTGTGTGTGTGTGTGTGTGTGTGGGGAGGGGGAAGCAGCGGAACACGAATTACGCTTCAGGAGAAATTAAAAGCTGTTCCACCCTGCGGACAATTGATCATTCCTAGATACAGAGAATCAACAGTTTCCTGTATCCCGCTCCAGAGGCACACACGTGCACGCCCGCCTGCCGCTGCTCCCGGCAAAACACAGCATCCAAATGTTGGCCCGGCCCCTGCCCAGATGACTTTTTTTTTTCTTCAAGGGGACGAGGAGAAAAGCTGGATGCTGGCGCCAAGGATATTCCAGGGAGAGTAGCGTCCAGAGACAAGTGGTCTGGGCTTGAATGGGTATCACTCTGCACACAATAGTCACATTTCCTCACATTAATACCAAGGTCCTTTTTATGTCTCGAGGCACAATGCTGACCCACGCGTTCCATCTGATAACTCCTGTTTTAGCAGTTTGATGTCAGAGTGGGATGTTGGGCTCCCGAGGCTTCCTACCCTCTAATGGAAAGTGGATATACCGATTGTGTGCCGGGGAGGGGACGGCCTCCCTCCGAATTTCCTGGCGAGGGTGTTTTCAAAGTGCTGCTTAGGAAGCCGAGGGAGGTGTGGGGGGAGCACGGGTGGTTCTGCACGGAGACAGCGGCCTCACTTCTCTGTGCTTCACCTTGGTGCTCTGGAGCAGCTTCCCGTGGGATTTAGGGTGCGTGAAAAAAAATGCACATTTTCCCCCTGCCCCAAATGGGTTGAGAGAACCTACCGCAGGTGGGATTTTTTTCATGAAATACTCGGCTTTTACGGCACATGGGTGTGACAAGTGACACCTCGTCCTTGATCAGTCTCTTTGCTGTCCCCTCTCTTCCCAGTTCCCCACCCAGGAGTGTGAGGGATGGTTCTTCACCTGCCCTGCTGTTTTTGCTGCTCCAGAATCCTTATTCCCACCTGCCTTTAACCTGGGGATTTGTGGGATGAACCCAGTTGACTTCAGGCTCTTTGCCTTACCTGTTGTGGGAATATGGGATAATGAATGCACAGTTATTTATCTAACAATATTTAACCAAAATTACTCAAATCTGATGGTGATTAGTCCAGGCTTAGGAACAGCAAAGCAAAGAATCCCCCTGATATCCTGTTTGTACAATCTCCTACTGCCAGTGGTGTGTTAGATGTGTCACCACTGCTCCTGGCAAACTCCTGCCATGCCATGTGGTGATGGGGTTTTATTTAAATGTTTTTAAGGCAGATTTGAAAAGCAGAACATTTTTTTCTGCTCACGGTGGGGTTTGATACAAGTGGCTGAGTCTTAGGTTTGGGCAGACCCCTGATAAAAAAATAAAGATAAAATAGATTTTTTTTTTTTTTTAAATAAGCCTTCCAAACCTTAAATGCTTCCACTCACACCAGATCCTTAATATTTTTCAAGGGAAAACATGGAAGTGCTAATACAGTATTCTGCTCTGATTTATTTTACTGTGCTTATATATATTTACTATGAAGATGCACCAGGGAGTGTTTGTAGATCTGAAGAAATGTGCACAGCCAAAAAGCTCTTTTTCTTTAATTTCCACTCCTTTTATCCCAAAATAAAATACTGTCTTAAGCTGCTGCAGGCATCCAGTGGTGGCTTTGCTCCAAAGGCTTTTGGATCTTCTCAGGTGTTCAGGGACTGGGCCTGGGATGGAAAGAGATCCTGGGTGAAAGAAGATCTGTTAAGGCAAAAGGTGAAAAGACTTAAACTTTGATATTTGACTTTTAGGGTTTGTTTTCAGGCTTGCATGGCAGATGTTGTTACCTAAGCAGGGGGTGGAGGGGAAACAAGAAGGATTTTATTTCTCTGGGTTGCTCTCGGGGGTGTTATTAGGGCAGCTGGGATGCAACTGAGCAAATAAACTTCCAAGCATTAAATCTCCTCGTGCGTGTTGAAGTTGGATGGGGCCTGTTTGGAGAATGGCGAGAAATAAAAAGGAGAGGCAGGGCCCTGAGCTTGCCACGAGTTGTGGTGTTGACAATTCCTCGGTGTTGTGAGAACCGAGCTCCCTGGGAGTCGCTCGTGGCATTCCCGGGATGGCTCCATGCCTGCGTGCACGCATCGCAGAAATTCGGGATGCGCGTGGTGCCTTGATGTGCCTGCCAGGGGATGTCGGGGATGCGTCGCCGACTTTTTGGCTTTTCCCTTGGGCAGGACCTGGAGCTGAGCCCAACAGATAAGCTCGGCCACCCCTGGCAGCTCTCCCTCAGCTCTGTGTGAGGACACACAATAATGCCCCTCGCTCGCTCGCTTGCCTAAAATAGGCTTTTGCTGCCTGCTCTGTCCAGCAAGGAGGGCCACAAAAATAGACATGAGCATTTCACGTGGTATCCCAACCTTCTCAGACAGTTTCATTGTGCTTAATTGTGATGTTCAGGTGTGAAATCTCAAATTGCTGAGATTTTCAAGTTACTGCTCTTGGTAATAAGACTTGGCTGAGGAGATTGATGAATCCAGGGTTTTCTGTATCCATATCATCCCCGTGAAGGGCTTCTCTATGGAGGTACAAGGCCAAGGGTGTTGACTCATTTTACCCCCTCCTTGGCTGGAAGGAGGCAGGGATGATGCTGTGGAAGAGGAGAAACTGAGTGGCAGGCTGGTGGTGGTTGGACTTGAGCTTTGGATGTGTCACGGGCAACCTCCTGCAGGGTTTAATCCACATTACCTGGCAGGAAATAAAAGGATATTTAATGTGAGCCAGGCAGAAGAGAAGTCTCTGTGTATTTTTCCCTTCCTTTTGTCATGTTCCAGTGGATTTGCTGCTATCCCTGAGTGATGTTGTAGCACTCCAGTGAGCATTTAAGATACCAGCCCAGAACTGGGATGGCCATATCCATCCATCTCCCTGCCTGGATTAAATCCGAGCCGTGTGTTGTTGGGATGAATGATGAATGAGGCTCTGGGCTTTCCAAAGCGCCACCTCCATACCCAGAACAGCTTTTTTGAGAAGTTTGAAAGATCCTGCTCCAACAGATGTAATGAGATGTTTTTGCTTGTGTTGATAAAGCAACACTTGGTGCTCCTCCAGCTGGGTACGTGAGAGAGCTGTCAGCAAAGATTGATACACCTTGAAAATGATTAGAGGAACCAAGAGCTGCTGCCTGATAAAAGCACAGGGAGAATTTCTGTTCCATTTCCATGTATCCATGAGGACAGGCTGCAGCTCTCTCTTCAGCATGTGCCTGTTATTGTTCAGGGTTGTGGGTGTTTTTTTTGTCTCTCCTGAACTATTTCTTGCAAAAGCAGATAAACCAAAACATGTTTTCTCCTCGATGAATATTTATGGGCTTCCAAATCTCCCCACATATTTCTGCATGTGTAATTAGGCTGGAAGTTGGGTAAGCGAGCGTTGGAGAACTACAAATGTGAGAGCATGGGGAAAATGCTTGATGTTTCTGGTTTATTTGGGTGCTTGCTTTTTAATAATAAATTGCACTTTTTAGATGAAACAGCTTGTGTTTTCCAAAAGGCGTGTCAAAAGCAGGAATAATTGGGGCTGTTGCAGCAGCAGACTTGTCTGGTTAAGTGATGCTTTTAATCACATGTGCAGCATCCAAGTGAAATCTGGGAGAAGTTGGGTGATGTTACCAAAGCTTCTGAACCACCTCGTTTTTTTAGGGGGAGATGAAGTCAATCCTTTTCCTCTTTTCTACAGCTCTGCTCCCACTTTGAGTTGGAGCCTTTGAGCCTTATTGAGGGCAAGACTCAAATTTCTGTTTGATAAGCGATGATTTTGTTTAAAGCAGTTTTCTGCATGCAGGAGGTAATTATTTTTTTCTGGAGTTTAACATGAATTGCGCCCTCATTTTATTTTTCAGAGAGTAGCAGGGCTTGGCTTGAAGGTGCATGGCCAAGTCATGGGATTGCAGCAGCTCTTATAGGTTAGGATTTGGAAGTAGAGATCTGGAAAGGAAGCAAAACCCTCATCTGAATAACTGTAAATCCGTGTTACATCTCTGTAGTTTTCCACAGCTTGGCCTCTGGAAAAGTTTTGGTCTTCAGTGGGTTTTTTCCGTGCTGCTGTTGCGCTCATTCGAATTAAAGCTGTTCATGTGTTTCATTTTGGTAGCAGCTCAGGCTTAAGGGGTTTTTTTTGGAGAATTTAAGGAGAAGGATGCCAGGCTGGAAGTGTCCAAGGCCAGGTTGGATGGAACTTGGAGCAGCCTGGTCAAGTGGAAGGTGACCTCGATGGTCTTTAAGGTCCCTTCCAACCCAAACCATGCCATGATTCTCTGCACAGAAAGTACCTGTGAGACAAATAATGCCACAGAGAAGGCTGCCTCAGCTGCAAGGAGTGGGATTTTGGCAGATACAGCTTGATTTTGTTTTGTTTTATAGCTGATACCCAAAAAATGCCTCGTAGATACTCTAAGAAAATGTTATTGTTGGCGCTTGGAAGTTTGAAGTGGGAATTTCCCGGGTTCCCCCATCCTGAGTATTCAATGACATTTACTAGTCCCTAAACAGCAGTTTTCTTTCCCAAGAGCTGTGTTGCTTTCTCCTCAGATTTATGGAGGCAGCGTGGTGAGTTGACAGAACATTAATGTGCTCATCTTGGAGTCGCTGCCTGCAATCCCTTGGAACTGCCTGGCTGTTATTGTTGACTCCTTAACGAGGACAAGGAGGGTTTCCAAACGAGGGTGACTCATGAAATCGTAGCCTCAATCTATCAAACAACGATGCATTGGATTAAATGATTACTTCAAGGATTAGGAGTTAGATTTTTTTGGGGGGGAGGTGGAGAGGGAGGGAGTGAAGGGAAGAGTAAAAATACATCAGAGTTACAAAAACCCGGCCAAAAAAAGCAGCAAGACACAATCCCTTAGTGATCAGATAATGCCAATCCTGTGCTTGGTTCACGCTTCCAAAATGGGAGATGTTGTAAAAATTGAATCTCTGCTTTTCTCTAGAGATCATCCCCTGCCAAGAGAGTGATGCTTCACCTCTTCCTGAGCCTCCTGCTCGGCTCCTGCTGCCTGTCAGGTACCTCTGATAGTAACACTCTTCTGATGTGCTTTTTTCTTTTTCCCCCTCTTTCCAGCTGAAAGTGAAGGTGCTGGCTGCGTGTTACTGCACACATCAAGGAAGGTGAGTAGAGGTGCTGTGTGACCAATTTGGTTTTTCCTTCATCCAGAAGTACAGAAAAAACTCATGAAACACTCTGGGGGGCTGCTTGTCCCTGGCCTAAGCAAATGGCATTCAAATGCTTCTTCTCCTGAATTCTTCTCCCTTTCTTTAAACCTAAAAAGCTACGTGCTGCTCATTCTCCAAACAATTTCTCTGTAATTCTGATTGTTCCACTGCTTTTTGTCCCAGACAATTCCTTGACATGTTAATTCATCACTTTCTCTCCTGCAGCTGCCTCCACAGGGATCCAAGTGCTGTAGAGATCCTGGCTGCTGAGCTCCTCTGGAGCTGGAAGCAGAGACACCCAGCAGACATGGCTGGGATTTGGTTCCTTTATTCCAGCTAATCAGTCGTCCTTCACGAGGTTCAGCAGGAGTGAAATTCCTGGAAACAAGCAGGCTAGGAGGAGGATTAGGAGCCCACACGTAGTTTACACTTGCTCCTGAGACTGTAACTCACTAATGATAAGGTGGAAGTGCACAATAACTTGCACAGGCTTTGTTATTCCAAACCTTCAGCTATGGAAGGGCACAGAAAGTACTCAGGGAGGAATTGGGTTGGTATTTTGATAATTTCCCTGTGAGGGTCGGCAGGCCTTGGCACAGGGTGACCAGAGAAGCTGTGGCTGCCCCTGGATCCCTGGAAGTGTCCAAGGCCAAGGGATGACACTGGGTGATCTTGGAATTTCCTTCCAACCCAACCCATTCTTTAATTCTCTGATTCTGTATTTAGTACAATGTAAAGTTCTGTCTCTAGGGTTGTGAGGCTCATGATGCATTAAGTTGTCTTGACTTCCTGAGGGCTGGAAGGAGTTGCTGTTGTCATGGGAGCTTGTATCATCACTGATCCAGGATCATTTAGGTTGGAAAAACCCTCTAAGGTCATCAAATCCAACCATTTCCCCAGAACAGCCAAGGCCACCACTGACATATCCCCAAGTGCCACATCCACACAGCTTTTAAATCCCTCCAGGGACGGGGACTCCAGCACAGGCCTGGGCAGCTGGGCCAGTGCCTGAGATGTTGGATTTCAGGCTTTGTTGCAGGTTGTAACTTGAGGTTTTAGTTTGTGTAACCTCGTAAGCTTTGGGGGCTTTTTAGGGAATCCCAGAGAGCTCTTTAATTCTGCTTTGCTTTAGGCCTCTAAGACAGTTTAAATCCTGAAAAGATATTTCAGAAAGCTGAATTAGTAGTGGGAGGAAAATGCGTGATAGCTTTAGAAACCTTTTCCCCAAGTTAACAAAAAAATCCCCCAAGCAAATAAATACCAAAGAGAACTCTACCCAAAACAAAGCTGCCACCACCAAAAAAATTTAAACATTGTTTGATATAGAATCATGGAAAGTTAAAATAAGCAATTGCATGCTCAGGAATGAAAATGTCTTTATCCCTAATTTGTCTTGTCTAATCCCAGTGCCAAGGTTCTCAGTCATACACACTTGACTGAAAGTAACCTGAGAACTTAATCACTTAAAAGTGCAAATTCTAAGCCCAAATGCAGGATCTGCCTCTGATAAGAAATAGTTGGAAACTGCTAACTCATAAGTGTCTCTTCTATTTTGTTTTTCCTTTTCAGAGCTGTAGGATTCTTGATTTTTCTGGCCTACAGTTCATGTTTGAGCATTTTAGTGTGCTGTGGAGCCACAAATACCAGAGAGCTTTAGCAGGGCTTGAGAAAAAGATGCTTTTGCCAGTTTTTCTCTCCAGGGAGGATGAGTGGAAATTTTGTGCTTCAGATGCAAAGAAAATTGGGACCTGACTCATGGAGGAGATAGCTCCAAGTGTCTGGGAAGGGGGAATCACCAGCAGAGAAGTGAGAAGCTTTGTCTGGAGGAGTTTCCCTGTAGGTTGTCCCTGTCTCTGGTGGTTCTAGAAGGGCAGTTTGTGTCTCAGCAAAGTTGCCATCTAGCAGGGCACTTGGTGGGCAGGAATAAAAATCTTCACACAGATTGAGCTGTTCAGTCACCATCACAGAGTGGTTCTGAGGGAATTGGCCCAAAGCACCAGCAGCCCAGGCAGAGCTCTGCTCAGGAGAATGGGATTTTTTGGACACCACAAAAAATTTACTGGTGGCTCTAAGTAGAGGTGTCTCCTGAGCAGCCAGCCAGGATAGAGCTTGCATTTTGAGCCTTACTGATGAGTTAAAATGTGTGATTTTGGCCTGCCTGAAGTCAGGGGAGCTGTTTCAGTGTTTTCCCTTTTTTTGGCACAACAGCCTCTGCTCCTGTCACGGTTCAACGTGGAGCTTTGCAATCAAGGATGCCCAGAGCTGTTCAAATGGCTCTTGGGTAGCTGGCTTGAGTTTCTTCCTAAGCAGTTTCCAGCATCGAGTTTCCAGCATCAAGTTTCCTGGTGTGACTTGACTATCCAGCTAAAAATATTAGTGAGGCAGCATTCATTAATCTCCCCTGAACCCAGCAGGGGTCCTGGCTGGAACAGTTGTGCCTGAGCTGTCGCTGAGGCTTTGCTGTGCCAGTGCTCCCAGTAATTTGATTTTGGTGGGTCTCAGGGAGTGATGGATTTCTCTCCTTTCATGGTGGCTGCTTGCCTTGTGATGTTTAATGTGCATGAATCCTCTTTAAGCTCAGAGAGTAGATTTAGATTGGGTGTTAGAGATGCTCCCTTATGAAGATGCTGAGGCCCTGGCAGAGGCAGCCCAGAGAAGCTGTGGCTGGCCCTGGATCCCTGGAAATGTCCAAGGACAGGCTGGACAGGGTTTGGAACAACTTGGGATAGTGCAGGGTGTCCCTGCCCATGGCAGGGGTTGGAACAGGACGAGCTTTGAGTTCCCTTCCAGCCTTAACCATTCCATGACTCTGTAATGCCTTCCCTAATATTAGGAAATGATAATAATGATAAATGGGTGAGAAATATGAATCTTCCCCCTATTTCCTATAAAGGACCAAGAGCAGGGAAATGAAACAGCAGCAAGGCATGGAAAGTTATTTTCCCAAGGCACTGCTTGAAGCCTGTGGCTCAGCTGGAGCTGAATCCTCCTGCCTTGCAGTGAGCTGCTGCTGGTGCTGTCAACACAGCTCACTGCAGGATCAGTCTTTATTGAGATGAACTGGGGCCTTCCAGTACCCAAAGGGAGCTACAAGAAAGATGGGGAGAAATGATTTTTACAATAGTCTGGAGTGACAGGACAAGGGGAAATGGCTTCAGACTGAAAGAGAATAGGTTTAGAGTGGATATTAGGAAAACATTCTTTATCATGAAGATGGTGAGGCCCTGGTACAGCTTGCTCAGAGAAGCTGTGTCTGCCCCATCCTGGAGGTGTCCAAGGCCAGGTTGGATGGTGCTCTGAGCAGCCTGGGCTGGTGGAAGGTGCCCCTGCCCATGGCAGGAGATTAGAACAGGATAACCTTTAAGGTTGCTTCAATTCAAACCATTCCATGATTCTGTGGCCTGGGCAGATAACCCACATGAATGCCTTTGATTAATTTTTGGCTGTCTCTCAACTTACTCCTTCTGCTGTTCTGCTTGTGGTTGTTTCTTTCATGCACAAGTTGGTGACACAAAGCCACCTTTGCTATTTTGAAAACTCTTGTTACAGGTGTGTGTTAATCTGCTCTCAATTTGAGACAGACTCACTGCCTGCACTTCTGAGGTGGAGTTGTAGCTGTGTCACCGTCTCCTCTCCTACGAGCAGATGGTTCCAAACCTTGGGGGTGGGAGCTGAAAGGCTTCAGAGAATCCTCCCTCTCAAGGATGCTGTGGAAAGAGTGATTGATGCAAAGTAAAACAGTGCTAATTGCAATGGATGTGTACTGACAACTTGATAGTTGCTGTGATAATTACAGTAATTAGGGAGATGTTAGCATTTTTTTTGCCAGTGTCTATAAATGGAAAAGGTAAGAGAGAGTGTGCATGGAAGGAGAGGACCCATGAGTCAGGCTCTGGGATAGCCCTGTACCCTGGGGAGAAAGTGGCATGGTCCTGGCTGTGGAGGCAGCTGGGGATCAGATTTGTAAAACAATTCAGAGCCTGCTTCTTCCTGAGCTTGAGGGGACCTGAGGGTTTCGATGTCTCTTGACATTCTGGTTCTCAGCATCACGAATTCAGCCTGGCAGCTTTCCCATGGGAAGGAAGATCCACAGAACAGCTCAGTTCCCCTTTCCTCACTCAGTTTTAGGCTGTTGAAGGAGAGGGCCAGGACTGCCAGCCCTCCTTGTCCAGTGCTCTGTGTGTGGATTTCCAAGGACTGTGCAGTGGGAACGAGACATTTGTAGTTTGATCACTCAATAATCACCTTCACAGCTGACAGAAAGGAACTGAGGTTCTGGAACACACTGGGGCTTTCTCTTCCATCTCAAGGCCAGTAAGTCTGGGACAGCAGAAGGAACCTGCAGAGAGCTGGGATAGTTTCAGCCTCTGCTGTCTTTTTCTCGTGATTGCTTTAAAGGTAAATCCACAAAAGAAGAAAACTTCCATGGAAGTGGAAAGGAGAGAAATTTAGCAAATGTCAGAAAAGCTGATGGGCTGCATGGCATTCCCCACCTCCCACATCAGACTGCCTAACTGGGAGCACTGGGGACAGATGGTTCCCAGTTTGAGGACAACTGGGTTGACTTGGCACTGAGATTCATACTGCTAATTTTCCGTGCTGCTGAGCTCAGTGTCCATTTCTCCCAAATAACTTTCCCACATTTTTTCAGACTTCCTGAATTACTTGAGCCTAAAGAAGATTTTAAATGCTATTTTAAGTATTTTTGCTTTTAGACCAACTTACCCTACTTTTTTCTAGGCTAAAAAAAACCAACCAAAAAACCACAAAAAAGCCTTTTTTAAAAAAATTATTCTGCTTTCTATGTCAGAGTATAAATGGTGCCTGGGCATTCACCTGTGACCACACTGTTAGGATAAGCCTTGAAAATGCAAACCTTCAAATGCATTAATGCATAAAATGCTTTTTCTCCTGTGATCTGAATGACCAATAGAATCTTTGGTTGGGTGGTAACCTCAGCAAAACCGCTGTGAAGGTCCCTGATCCTGCTTTGCTGATATTGTGTATGACTGTCTCATGCTCTGATTTTTTTTTTCTCAACACAGTACCTGAAATTAAAGAATTTTGAGGAGGAGGTCAGAGCCCAGCGAGACCTGGATGGTTTCTTGGCCAGAGCCAGCATCATCCTGGATGAAACAGCCACGTCCTTGGACGATGTTCTCCGGGAGATGCTGAAACACTTCGCCGAGGATCCTGAGAACATGGAGCCCAGCTGCAACTTCGAAAAAATCATGAACACTTTATTCACAGATTCAGGGACCCCACGGGAAGGGAATGGTAATCAGCTCTTGGTTTGCTTTGGCTGGTGGGCTGCTGATCATTTGCCATCCTTGCCATGGTGGGGTGCTGGACACTCACTGTGTGGTCCCCAGGCTTGCACGTTGCATGTGACACCCTGGGTTGATTTTATTTTATTTTTTTCTCCCCATGTCACTCAGACTGAAGGGCCTCATTTCTCCAGGGTTTTTGTGTTTTGGTGGAGTTTTGCCCCTGCTTCATTAAAATCACCCCTTGTGGTGCTCTCTGGGGTGAGGAGTCAGCAGCACTGGGGTGTCTTGTCTGCGTGGACCCTTTTGGTTTGCTTGTCGTCAGACAATGCTGTTCAGCTAAGAGACTCTTGCTGGTGTCTTGTCAGCAATGGCCGTATGATTGCCTTGGGATTCTCCACCTGAATTCACACAGGCTGGGTAATTCTGCCTGCTTTGGATTAGTAAGTGGGGAGGGTTAATTCTTTGTGTCACTCCCAGCCCACCGGAGGAGATGGGAGACACTTGATTTTCCTCCAGAAGCTCAACCGAGGCAGCCCTAGCCAAGGTTGTTGGCTCTGGTGTCACCTTAAGCTAACAACAAATGTTGTAGTGTAGTCTAAAACCACTGCCTTGTAGCCCAAGATGTGAAGAAGCTTAACTGAGCATTGTTTCTCTGTAGGCACCCCTGATGTTTCAGAGTCAACAGGAATGAATGTACAAACATGTCCATCGCACCTCAAATGTAACTGTCACAGCCTGAGTGAATTTGTTTAACAGATATGTCAAGTCCTGAGCATGTAGTAAGCATGTTCATGCTTTGGTTACTTCTTGCTACCTGTCTTAGAGCTTCGCATTTGTAATCCCTTTAATTTAGGCTTTCTGCCAATAAAGAGCAAAAAGTAAGTAGTGCTGTAAAATAGTGTGAGAGCAGTAGCTGGGAAGAGGGGGAGAGAGGGCAGGGGATTGGGAAGGTGACACCCCTCCCAATCCTGTCTGTGTGTGTGTGGTGGATAATGCTAATCTAATAACCCAGTACTGCAGTAGGATGATGTTGGGAGGAGAAAGCAGCTGCCTTTCTAAGCTGTGAATAGTTTAAGGACGCAGTTCAAAAGCAGCAGGACAAATGTTTCCATCTCTCTCTCTGTCAGCCCCCACCCCTGCATCAGTCCACTGGGCAGATAGGAATGCTTGGGATTAGTAGTCAGCTTCCATTTAGAAGGAAATGTTATTTACAGCTGCAGAATAAATGAGGACAGCTTGTGATGTTTCCATCTCTTCTCTTCCCAGTTCACCTCTTATCAGACACAATTCAAGGGGTCACAGCCACAGTCACGGGGGTGCAGTATCAGCAGTCCTGGCTCTGTATCATGTAAGTACTGGGCTGGATGAGAAAAATCACTCAAATCCAAACCTTTTCCTGCTGCTGGGAGGAACAGAGGTTCAGAATGTGCCCTTTTGGGTTAAGATGGTGCTGCTTATTCCATCCATCCTGTGGGATCTGTCTCTCTCTGGGCTGCTCCTCATTGCAAACACATGCAGTAGGTGACCACAGCCCCTCCAGGGCATTCAGCTCTTGGATGTTATAGAAATCTGCTGTTAACAAGCTAAGAATGCTGAAAAAATGAGCCAGAAAATGCTAATTACTGTGAAATGCTAATAAAGGAACTTCTCAAAGGGACAAGCAAACTGGTTCATGAGCTGCTTTGGCTGCCAAAGTCTGGGAGCCTGGACCAAAAGATTTCTTAGGTCCTTTGATGGAACCATCCAAACTTTGTAGCTGAAAATTGAAGTCAGACATTCCACGCTATTTAGACACTGATTACTTTGTCTTACAATTAATTTGGACACTGATTAATTGTCAACACTGTTAAACATTGGAGGAGCAGGCCCTTAAGACACTAAGATCTCTGTCACCTGGGATTTATGAGATGTGGTGGCTTCACCCCAGCCTGCACTTGACCAGAAGTGAGGTTTGAAGTTATTGTCTCCAAGTCAGTCCTGTGGGGTGAGCCAGGCTGTCCCTTCACAGGGGACAGGCCAGAACCTGAGTCCCTGAGCCAACCAAAGCAGTGCCTTTTTGACTCTGTTGTTTTATTTGCCTTTTTGACTCTGTTGCTTTATTCCTGTGCAGTCTTGAAGTCGAGTTGTCAAGAAATATGTTAATTCCCAGAGAAATGACTGGGATATGTGGGATAGGTGCCTAAAGGCATGCACATATTTCAGCCTTCACAGCCAGTTTGCTGGGACAACTGTCACAATAGTTTTCCTTCTGCTTGCACTTCTGCTCCTGCCCTCTGCTTATGGCTGGGGAAAATGGAGAGAAATAAAGGATTTTTTAAAAATAAAATATCAAAAAGGAGACAACACCATCAACAAACAAGGAAAAATCTCACAGTTAATCTCTAATGAAAGAGAAGGATGTGAAAAAGAAATGATTACATGTCAGGGCTGTGTCCTGAGAAAGAAGAGCTTGATGATATTTTGTGCTTTATGTGCTACTTTTTTTACACCTGGCACATACAAAGCAGGACCACAAAGAAGAAAATGAGTTTTTAAAGTAAAATGGTGTCAACCAAGAGGACTTTTGGGCAGTTTTGTCCACCTTGGATGCCATAGGAAGGGTAACAGCAGTAAGGATATGTAGGTGCTGCTGATGCAGAGGATGGAAGTTCCTCCTGTGGGGTGAGAGAAGCTCTGTGGAGACTTTTGGGGAGTGTTGCCTTAACACCAAAGCATTTAAAGGTCATGATACAAATGCTGTGATTACATACATGAGACTGAAAAGGGTGGGTTCAGCCTGTTAGGAAAGTGTGCCAGAGCTTTAAATGCATCCATGTGAGTAATCCTGGCTTCCATGACAAGAGATGATTTGAAAAATAAGCTCACAGCCTGAAGGTGTCTTGTGCAAAACTTTCCTTGTTTCTTCCTTTTGTTGCTCTGAAAAGGGAGAAGAAAGTGGTGGGAAAGCAATGATGAGTTATTAACTATAATTATCTAATTATTGCACTGTATTTTTGCTGGATTTATTGTGCAACAGATTGGGAACCATATTTTTAGATCTTACATTTTTCTTGAAGTCAGATTGCAAAACAGCTTCCAAACCTCTGAAGTAAAAGGAATTTGTTGATGAAAAAATTTTCCGTATGAGTGGGAAGAACCTTTAAGATATCTGCTATTCTTTGTCCTTGCATTTGGTCTATACACTTTGCTAAATTTTAATTTAGCACTGCTGGGCTGGTGCACCTTAAGGAACTTTTAATTTCTGGTGGATGAGATAGAATTGAGTATCATGATAAGATTGTATTAATGAGGAAGAACAGCTCAGAGATAAGGTTTTGGTAGTGTTGCTTCAGCATAGATGATGAGGGGAAATATTAACAAATGAAATTAGTTTGGGTGAGAAAGGAAGGAGTTTTGTAGGATATTCACTGAGTTGTGCAGAGCCTGGCTGCAGAAGAACATTCCTAATGGAGACAAAAATGTATTTCCCTCTCTTTTGTGCTGGAAGGAAGGCTCTTATTTCTTATCTGATTTATCCTCAGTGAGTGGAGCAGTGGGGAGAAGCTGAGGTTGAAATAGATGTTCTGCTTCTTTTGGATTTGGTGCTTTCCTGATGTTTTCAGGTCTAGGGAAGCTGCAGCAAGGTCAGATATTCCATATGGGCCTGGGCTTCAGTCACAGGGCAGAACAAACCCTTGAGGAAATGAAGATCTCAAGGTTTCAATGTTCCAGTGAAGTCCAGGAAAACAACGGAATTCTGAGTCACTGCAGGCTTTAGGGCTGGTTTTGTCAGGAATGACCAAAACCTGATCTTGCTGAGGCCATACCAGGATACATGGAAAACTTGGGATTCTTCTGTTCAAATGAGAGCTGAGAGTATCAAAGCCTTTCATGCCCCAGTGACCAGCAGGTCCAGCTCTGGAAGAATAAAAGTTTTTATTTGTGTACACGGTCATTTCCTAACTAGAAAGCAAATCCTGGGAGTTCTAGATGAGCTTCACCAGCGCAGGACAAGATCTCACACCTTTGATACCATGGCCACAACTCTTTTTTCCTCCTACAGGAAGACCCAGACTGGCACAGAGATCTCCTGCTGCTTCCCTGGGAAGCTGCTGCTGGTTGTTTCCTTGGAGAACCTGGGATGAGGGATATTCCTGTCCCACAATGGGGAGTGCTGGACTATTTTCATCAGTTATTCAAGTGGGGAAGCTCAGCTGCTGGTAGGAGCTGCAGCATGGAATGACTGAAGCAGGCAGAGGTGCTGCCAGGAGGGTGCTTGGAGCTTCCCCTGAGCCACCCAGAGCTGCCATGAGCCCAGCACAGAGGGGTAAACTGGGTGTTTTCCATGTCTGGACTGGGAAAAATGGGCAAGAAGCTCCAGTGGGAGCTGCTGGTTTTGGTGTTGCAGTTTTGTGATTCAGAAAGGCCAAGGAACCTCTCCTTATCCCATGAAGAAGTGACTGTCCCAAGCCAAGTCCTATCACACCCCATTCCTTCTTTCACTGCCTGACAAATGAAGATTAAAATCCCTGATTTTTAATTGTTTCCTCTCAGAGTGAAGGCTATATGATTTTAAAACAGCTTAACTGGGTGCTGGTGGATTTTCCTCCCTCATGCCCTGCTAGGAGAAACATCAGCTCGATGGGTTATGGAACAAATGTCCCTGAGCTGATGGAGCTCCCCAGGCATCCCAGCTTCCAGGCTGTGTTCTCCTTGCCATCAGATTGATACAGCAGCTGATTTCCAGAGCTGAATCCTTAGAAAAACAAGAAATCAAGCTGCTCCATAGTCTGGATGGAGTAATTGTAGAGCCATTTCTTCTGGGTTGCTAAGGCACATGGACTGGGCATTAAACTGATTTCCTAAAGCTGTTTTAACAGGCAGAGCAGAGAGAAAAAAAAGCCTCTCTGCAAGCAAAGAGTGGTTCAGTGGCTTGTGTGCTGTGTTGTTACAGAAATTCTGCCTTTGATTGTAGCCTGTCATGGCAGTGACTCCTGTGGAGGAGTTTAACTCAGAAAAACCCAAGTGGCATCTCACTAATAGGTATTGTGAGATGATATTGGATAACCAGCAAGGCTGCTGTTGAGATAATCAAAATTTGAGGAGGAAGATCCCAAATCTAATGTATTATTGTGTGAAAGATGGGACTGGTGTCACTCTCACCAGAAGTGATGCAAGTCCATTTCATGTGTTTAAGGATTTTTCCAGACCCAGAGGTCTGTGGGTTTCTAGAAAAGTCACACTATCTCTGATTTAATTGTTGAATAGACTTCAAATAGAGATGCTTTAGTTGCTGTCTCTTCCTCAGAGTAGGAAAATTAAAACAGTTGGACTGCTTAAAACAAATATTTTCATTTAGCAGAATGATTACACGATTTGGAGCCTTGTAAGCAAGAGCCTCTTCTCCAGAATTTACAACCATCATCTCTCAAGTGTTCTTTGGGCTCAGAGAACCATATAATTTTTGTAAGGGCTTCTCCACCCTTTTTGGGTTTTCTCAGATGATGCTGGAGAGCTGAAGCTCTTGCAGGTGCTGTTTTATGAAGAGAAAACCTCAGATTCGAACTCTGCATGCAGGAATTTGCATCCTGAAGAACAAAGCTTGTTTTGCTACCTGCATGGCCTGTACAGGGATGGGATGTCTCCTGAGAGGATCATGAAGGTTGGAAAAGTCCAACCATTAGTGCAGCACCGTTGTGTTCACCTCTAAACCATATCCCAAGTGCCACGGCCAAAATCTGGCAAGTGTGCTTTAAATTCACAGAACCAATTAATTTTCTTTTAAGACCCTCTCCCCTTTGTGCTGGGCCATCCCAGGTGGTGCTGGAGAGCTCCTGCAGGTGCTGTGTGATGCAAAGGAGTTCTCAATGTGCACTGACCTGGGGAAAATCCTTCCCCTGGAGAGGATGAGTCTTCCTGGAGCCCAGCAAGGTGCATTTCCCAGGCCAAAAGGGCTTCCAGCCTGGAGAGGGGATGTTGTGGCTGAGAGCTGCCCGTGCCAAGCTCTGGGTGAGCTGCCTGGCCTGGCCACAGCTCCATTCCTCACTTGCAGGTCCTGGTTTCTCAAAGCTGGTGCCTGGAGCTGCTCAGCAAAGGAAGATTTATTGGCAGTGGTGGAGAACAAGAAGTGTCATTGTTGTTCTGTGTGGGGACAGGAAAAGGCTGGCTGGCTGATTACCTCTGCTGGGCACTTTTTCATACTGCAAGGGATAATTTGTTTCTGAATTAACTTCCTTTTTTGCCCTTTTAAAAGAGGGTTTCTGTTTCTCTTAGGTCTCCATAATTTGACCCTTTTTATGATTTGGTTGAGCAATGTGCTATTACTCTGATAACATCTTGGGTGTGGGGCAGACCTGGGGCACGTGGGGCTTGGTGGATCTGGGATTTTGGTGGAGCACTGCCAATTCTCACCATCCCAGTGCCACCCTCAGCACCACCAGAGGCAGACAGGAGCACAGGGAAGCAGAATTTGTGCTGGAATTTCAATGCCCTTCTTACGAGCTCAGTTATTCGGGGATCAAGATAAAACTGCTGAGAACACAACCTGGCATCTCATTAAATCATAGTCCAGCATTTCCTGGGGTGACTAATGCTGGGTGAAAATAGATTTTTCAGCTTTCTAGCCAAACCAAGGGAGAATCAAATGTAGCTCAACTCAAACCAAAAAAGGAACTTGGAGGCTTTGACCAAACCAGACTTGATTTAGAGTCAGCTGAAAATGTCTTGCTAGTTCTCCGTTTTTTGGGGCTTTGGCTATTTACCTTCCAGCTTTTTTGCTTTTTTTCTTAGTGAGAATTTGTTCAAGTGCTACTTTAAAAAAACAAAGTTGTTTCATTTTGAAAGTGACTTTCTTCTTGGCCTGAGCCATGTTGACTTTTACCTGGGGTCTTGCTTGACTTGAGATTTCTCCATGTGAAGCAAAGAACTCTTTCTTGGTGTCTTTTACAAATATTTGCAGAAGTCTAGTTGGGACTGCAGTTTCGGTTTCTATTGTATTTGTATCTGGATTCTGGAATTAAAAAAAAAGTGGGAGCTGTTAGTGCTACACCAGGGAATAGGATTTGAGTCAGCTAAATAATGGCTTAAATTTGAAGAAATGTGTGAGCTGCTGAATGATACATGGGCAGGAGTGACTTGGCCTGGCACTGGAAGTATTGAAACATCATTTTTTCCCCAAATAAATGGATATAACAGAGGGAGAGCAGACTCAGATGAGGCTGCAGTCTGCCCTGCTTCTCCCCTCCATGCAGTCAGGCTCAGGTACATCTCATCTTCTCTGTGGTTTTAATCCAGGTTTTAATCAGGTTTGTCCTCACTAAATCAACTCCAGCCTGATTTGTGAAGGTGTTATTGATCTAAATTATTTGTCCATTGACCTAAGTGTTGGAAATTCCTAATTTTACTAGTGTGATATTGGGATTTAGATCCATGTGTCAGTGTCTATAGAGTTCTTTACAGAGGAACTGGAGGAGACTTTCAGAAGTGTGAGAAACATCAAACTCCAGCACTCTGGATAAAACTGTTTCAGATTAAAAGGGTTGATAATGACAGTGAATTTCTTGGTGTCTTGTAAATGTTCTCCGTGTGAAATCTTTCAGTACTGTGGGATTCTCATCTTGCCCAGTCCCTCAGTTTAAGGAAACAGTGAACTCCTGACTAAGACAAAGAAAAATTTCTGGTGGCTGCCAGAAAAATGATCTTGTATGTGAGAGAGACCCAATAGCAAAGCTCAGTTTTTTCAAGTCCAGTTTTCCCCTCTGTACCCAAGAAGCTCTTGAGCTGAAGTGGGATTGTGGCACTGCTGGCAGGATTCCTGTCTCTGGAAAACACAGCCCTGGAGACAATTCATGGAGCTGAAACATAACCCTGTCACTCCAGGGAGAAAGAAAACTCCAGAACATGTGGTTTGCTTCATTACTGCACTTTACAATAGGCTTTTCCAAATTGCTTTGTGCTTCAGTGGTTTCTTGCTTGGTCAGGTCGTGCCTGGTGCACGTGGTAGGGAAGGGATGATGTCTGGGAAGTGTTGGTACAGCTCTGTGAGCTGCAGGGAGCTGATAGCTGTTTCTGGCCATGTCTGGGATAGAAGTGATGTCCAAAATACCCAGCAAACCTTCCTTTTCAAAACAGATTACTCCATGAGCTCAGCAGCTGAGGTATGGAAATGCTGAGAACTGAGCTCACAATTAATGCTAATGGTGCAATAATCATTCACTGCTGGTGAGCAGGTGGGTGAAGGTGAGAGAACTGAAGGTGTTGAGCCACTTGAAGGTTCTCCAGTTGGTCCAAATCCCAGAGTTCATGTCCCCTCTGGTTTGTTGAGCTGTAACACAAGGAGACTTGTCTGCTGTCCAGCCACAGCTGGATTGCAAGCAGGGGCTTGGCTTTGCTTGTGAAAACAAGTGTAGCTTGCACTGTATTTTCAGTTACTTCAAAAGATTTTTTATTCCTCACCTTTAGACCTGCCTTGATCTTTCTCTCTTCCAAAGCTGATTCAAGTACAAAAAGAACAAGAGGCTGTGGTGAAGGAAGTTAGGAAATTAATGAAACAGTGTCATCTTTCTCATGCCCTGTATTGTTCTAATTAAGCTGTTTGGTTGCCCTCAGACAAGTGCCTCTTTGAGATTAATTTATAGAAGCAGGCTGCTTTCAGTCTGAGATCAGGAAGTCAAACTCAATAAGAAAATACTTCATGGTGTGATTTTAAATTTTTTTTTTTAATGCAAATATTGAAGAACTTGATAGAAAATACAACGTGGTGCTGACTAGGACATCTCCAGCCAAAGATCCTGTTAATGGAGCAGCCCTCAGGGTGCATGGGAGTGAGAATACATCTTAAAAGGAAAGAAATAAAATGGGATTATGGAAAAGAAATTAGAGAAATAAATCCTTCTGTTGGAGGACTATGATAGGTGCTTGTTAGAGGAACAAAAGAGGGCAAGCAGCTGAAATAATTTAAAACCAGATAAAAGGAGGGGGAAATCACTGTGAGGTAGGAAAGTACTTCCATACCTCTTCCAGGTGTTTGTAGGCAAACCCTGTGTGCATTTTTCACCAGTGGTTTTATAGAGAGGTTGGGAAGTGGTTGGTGGCTTTAAAGGGAACAGGAGAGCTGCATGCCAGGCTGGCATTACCCATCTGCTGCCCCTGCACCGAGCCCCAAAAGTTTCCCAGCAGGAAAAGTGGCAGCTAAGCAGGACCCAGCTCTGTTTAAATATCCTGGGGTGGAGACAGAGCTGGTCTTTCACAGCCTCTGGAGATGATCCTTGTGTTTATCCCACACTGCTTTTCTTGCTAGTCTTGGTTCTGGGAGTCAAACATCCATCCCATCCCCTGGATCCCAGCCAAGGATTTCCCTCCAAGCTCTAATCCTGCCTCTGGATCTTGAGCAGGGAGGTCAGCCTGGTTTCTTTAACACTTGTGAGCCTGAAAGGGGAAAACAACAGCTGGGAGCAAATGGGGAAAGCCTGAGGCAGAAATGGGAATATATTGGCTTGGCATTTTGCCTTAGTATTTCCAGAAGCACTTTGGGAGATCAGGTGAAATGAAGTCTAATCTGCTCTCCAATAATGGAGGTGTTTTTTAATAAGAAGCTTTTTTGTGTGTATAGAAGCTTCTGCAGCTCTGCAAGTCCTTGGTGTGTTGTACTGTCTGTCATTTGTTAAAAAGCAGCTGGAGGAAAAGGCAGAATACACCTTGAAATCTTGAAAGGTATTTCCCATAAAAACACAAGGTGTCAGATCGTACAAAAGGGAGCAGAATTGGGATAATAATAACTAAAAGTCACTGTTTAAGACACTTCAGCAGTCTTAAACCACCAACTTAATGTGTTTCTCAAAGCTGAAATGTGGTTTTATACCTTGTGCACCAGAGGAGATCATGCCTGGTGTTGTGGGGCTCAGTCTAACAATCCCATTTTCCCTGGCAGTTGCACTATAAAGTCCCTTCAGCGCCGTCACGTTTGCATCAGCCGCCTGGAGAGGCCTCAGAACTGGGGTGAGAACTCCTGTGAAGTCAGATTTGTCATCCTGGTCCTGGCTCCTCCCAAGATGGTGAGTCTTGTCTTCTTGCTCCACAGCTTTGGGGTGTTCTCCTGAGTTTGCTTTTCCTTGGTCTCCTCCAAGGGTTAATAAATGTTTGTTTTAAAACACAAAAGGATGTGAAAAGGCCTGAGGTCTTCTCAGCAGCTGCCAAGGTGATTTATCCTGTTGGTGAGGGGTAGATTAGTGGGCTGTGTCCTTGTCTCATGGCCTGTATCCTGATGGAGAGCACAACACTGTGTAGCCCCCATACACACCTGGGATGCCTTTAACACTCCATGAATTTCCCTCTCCAGCTGTAGCTGCTATTTTTAGAAGTAAGAAATGCAGTTCCTTTTTAAAGCCAAGCTTTTGAAAGGTCCTTGTGAGCCTACAGCTGGTGCTCCACTGCAAAGGTCTGGGTTGCTTCCCCACAAACTTCCCTGATGGGGCTGACATTTACCCTGCACGTGTGGCTGCAGCAGCTGCAGGTGATGTAGCCAAGAGGAAGATGATTCTTTTTTGAGCTCTGTTGCAGTCAGGGTGAGACTTTCTGGGAGCTGTGGTGCTTCTAAGGTCAGCCTGTCCCTGATGTGTTTTCAGAGCTTTTAGCACTTGAAACAGCAATGTTAAAGCTTGCTCAAGTTCTGGTTCTTTAGTGTAAACAAGAATGGCACAGTAGAACACATTTATTGCACTCAGAATATCCTGAGTTGGAAGGGACCCACAAGGGTCATCCAAATCTGACTCCCATATCGTGGGGTGCATCAAGGTTAATTGAGGATCACCATCCTGTCTTCCTAGAAAGCTGTGGCCTGACCAAGGTAGTTCTTCAGCTGATGGCTGAATGGTTCAAAGCTCAAGACCTTTTCACACTCCAGCTGGCTGTTTACACCTTGGAGCTGCTGGATCTGTGCTCCTGGGAGGTGCTGGAGAGGCTGGGGACCTTTTCTGGGACAGGATATGTCCTGATTCAATTTCCTGCTCTTCAATTCTATCTGTGTGACCTTGAGACCTGCTGGTCTGGTCTGTCCCCTCCCACCCTTCACCACCAGCCTCGTTGAAATGGGAATACTGGTGTTTCCTTCTTTCCCAGCATTTCTGGCAGGTCTTTCCCAACCGAGCCGCTCGATGCTTTTGGCATCGACCTCGAAGCCAACAGGCTGAAAACATATTGATGTTCCTTGTGCAAAGCAGGAGGGAGAGCAGCTGGAGCTGTGTGCAGTTCCATGGATCTCTCCCTCATTGTTATCTCGGGCCAGCTACGTGCAAAGCACCCGGCGAGCGGCTCCGCATCCGCTCCGATCCCCACAGTTTGCAATTCCAATGGTCAGCATCAAATTAAGGGAAGGGAGTGGAGGCCAGCAGAGCTCACACTTGCCAATCTGCTTTTTCATTTTAAATGGGTTGGTGGAGCCAGCCCCAAGTGCGCATTTCTGGTGCAGCAGTTAAAATAATTAACCTGCTGACAGCAACACATTCAAACGGGCCTTGCTGGGGGAGGAGGGGGGGTGGAAAATCCACAAAATGGGCATTTGTTGTGCTGAGAATCCAGATCCTTGGCCTTGCTAACATGGAGGAAGGAAAAAAAAAATGGAGTTTTCCTGCAAATATGTATCCTCTCTAAGCTGTTCATCTCCTCAGTTAAAGAAGAACGGGAAGAGCATTGGGAATGTTGAAGCAATCCTTGCAGCATCCAGCCCAAGGATTGCTGCTGCTTTGAGGTGAAAGGTGGAGCCTCTTCTGTGATGGCAAATCCAGGCTGGTTCTAAAAACAAGTCCCAGGGAAAATCCTTCACTTAAATCCACACCTCTCCCCTAGATATTTAAATTTAATGTGCCCTAGTGAGTGTTTGAAGGGACATTGCTGGTGATGGAATCCCAGCATGGTTTGGGTTTGGAGGGACATTTAAGGCAATCTCATTCCAACTCTCTGCCATGTGCAGGGGACACCTTCCCCTATCCCAGATTGCTGCAAGCCCCATCCAACCTGGTCTTGAGCACTTCAGGGATGGGGCAGCCACAATTTTTTCGAGCAAATGGAAGAGAGGAGGGTGATGCAAGTGATGGAGGAAGGGCAGTGTTAACAGTGACTCTGGGACCAGCTCAGTGCCACCCACACCTGCCCCTCTGCGTCACCCCCTCTGAATTATTTGGTTGTGTTCATGGAGAAATTGTTCATCTGCTCAGTTGTGAATCATGAGAAGCAATCGGGATCAATCACAGATGCTCACTCTTCTTTTCACAGCAGTGAGAGGAGCTTGGAGGTTCTCCAGGGCTGGGGAATGTTTGGGTGTCTCTGGTAGCTGCTGTGTGATGAGTGTGGAGTGTAGAGGAGGTGGGTGGGTTAAAACTTGGCATCAGAAGGGGCTGTGGTTTTAATGAGCTGTGATTCTGTGTAATTTGGCCTTGGCAAGTATCTTACCTGTCCTGGCCACAGTAGGAGCAGGTGAGCAGGTCGGGATTGAGAGCTTGGATTTGCTGGGTTTGTGCAGGGATGAGGAGCCTCCTTTTCTCTTCCCTTTGCATTTAATTTCCTGCAGTAGGAAGGCAGCTTGGATTCTCTTGGAAACTGGACCCCCAAAATTGCAGCCTGTGTCTCTTAGAAATATTAAATCCTGAAAAGAAGCACATTTTTAATGGCTGCAAGCCTCCTGTCCCTTCTGAACCTTTAGTGCAGACAGACAGGAGCTCCCTGTGTGTGTGCTCAGCTGTTTTTTCCCATCCTTTCCTCTGTGCCAGTGGTTACTTGAGCTGAGAGCTCTCAATCTCCACTTGTGCTGCCAGAATTGCCCCAGAATGGCCAAATGAATTGAGTTTTTATGCCCAGAAAATAGGAATCAGATGAGCACAATAATCTCAGTCTTGCAGATAAGACATCAGTACCTGCAGAAACCTTGACTGCAGCACCTTTCCACCCCAGGAGCAGCAATGCTGAGGTGCTGTGAAATAACAAAGAGTTTTGTTTGTCTAGTCTTGAAAGGAAACCAGGGATAAAATGCATGCTCAGCATGATTCAGCTTTGGATTGGTTTCTGGGAATTTGATCAAGTAAAGATCAGTCAGGGTTCAGATCAGGACCTGTGTTGGTGCCTCCGTAGGATTCTGTTGGGGATGTGTGTTCATCTGCAACAGCTTCCACATGTGCCCTCCTCCCTCAGGTCTCTCTGGGATCCTGGGAGCTGGGAAATTCCTTTTCAGAGGGATAAATTATGGGGTTTACCGTTCAGAAGTGAAATTAAATTGTTTTACAAGCACTTTTTCTTTCTTTTTTTTTTTTTCTTCCCCCTGCTTAGAAAAGCACCAAAACAGCCACAGAAGTGGGCAGGACCTTTGCCACGATGTTTTCTGACATAACCTTCAGGCAGAAGCTCCTGGAAACCAAAACTGAGGAGGAGTTCAAGGAGGCCTTGGTGCACCAACGCCACTTGCTGACAGTGGCAAATCAGAGACCCTCAGGGATGAAGGATGGGCACAAGTCACAGGGTAACAAACCACTCAAGGTAAGGCTTGGCCAGCACCTCTGCCATGGCCCTGCTTCCCTGCTGTCCAAATCCATCAGTCCAAGGGGATTTGGGGTGAGGAGGTGAACACTTGAGGCCAGTGGATGCAGCAGCATTCCCAGCAAGCTCCCAGCACTGAGGCTTCCCCAAACTTCTGCTGTGTGCACATCCACCTTGCTCACATTCTGCTGGAAATCTCCAAAAAGCCACTTGAAAGAGGCAGGTGCTGAAGGGATGCAGAGCATTTGGGAGTTGAAATGGTTACAGGACTTGGATTCCAGATGCTTATGGAGGGTGGGATTAATGGATCCCTGCTCCTTGTCAGTCCATGGTACTTAATCCTCACAATCAGAAGGCTCTGAAGGAAGCTGCTGCTTGTCTTTCCTGCAGCCAAAAGGCTTCTTGGCCATCTCTGCACGGTAATTTCACTTAAAAGTTGCCTGTCAGTATTTGGCTTGAATTCTCCCTGTTTGATCTGTAGCTCTGTAAAACATTACTTGCTTTGTACTTTAAAGTTCGAGGGAAGTGCTGTAACTCAGCTTTCTTTGCTGGAATTTCCTGTGTGTTGGTCATTGCTTTGTTTTTCCGTTCAGAAATCCATTCTTTAAGCAGACAGCATACCTGAAAAACAAACTGTGCCATCTCCAGCATGCTGCTTCTGTCCCTGCATTACAGAGAACCCCAAAGCTTTGGGTTGCTTATAGTGCAGGAGCTGCTTCACTTAGCACTTTTTTTTTTTTTTTTTCCCTCCTGGAATAGATTTAAGGGGTTTGATCTGCACATCTGGAAATGAGCAAAGCTCATGTTTTTCCTGTGGAATCCCCTTGCTTATAGGTAGTGCTTTGAACTTTCCTAGACCCCATACCTGCTCTTAACTTTGCAGAACAAGTCCTGAAACCCTCTTCAAGCCTGGGTTGTGCGAGGCAGGGATATTTGGAGTAGTAATTTACCTAAAGTAGGTTTAACCCTTTACACCTGGCCTTTCAAAGAGGATTTTGTTAGAGCAGTTGAAGTGTCTGGCTTTGTCTTTTGCTAAAAATAGCAAAAAAAAAATCTCCAGAGTTTTCTGCTCTATCATTTGGTGAGGAGGGCAGGATAACACACTGAGCTTGTAGATTTTGGCCCTGAGACTGGTGATTCCTGCTGGCCTGTTTGGAAAAACAGCCTTGGCCAGGCAGAATCCTGATTTCTCCAAGCCAGTGCTGTAGAGAGTGACACTTCTTCCTTCAGCTCAGGCTTTTGGCATCCAGTTGTGGGCCTGGATTTGCTGAACTGTTGTTTTTTTTAAAGCCATTTTATCCTTCAGCTCTTGGGAGATGCAGCCTCTGTATCCCCACCTTGCCCTGCCAGCACAAAGAGCTGGGAAAGGAGATTTCCTGGCAAGCCAAGGTTTGCCTGCAGAAGTGAGGTTGATTTGAGCCCCTAGGCTGGATTCCTGAGCTCCTGAGAGCCATCTCCAGCATCTCCCCACCTTGTGGAGAGGAAGCATTTAATGGGAGCACAAACCCATGTGAGACTGACCAGGAGTGGAATTTCAATCAGTCAGCCACCCCCAGAGAAATAAATACCCTCAGTGGAGCCCCTGGACTGAGACAAGTGAGCTCTCAGGAAGGTGTAAAAACTCTGGGTGACATGAAAATCTGCCCTTCTGGATCCTGCAGTGATGGGAGAGGAAACAGGCCTTAAATTGTGTGTGTGAGTGGGATTTTTGCAAGTGCTTGTTTCTACCATTGCTGAAATACTGAGGGGGATGTGACAGTCACATTCCCTGCTGTGCCTACAGCACCGTCACTTTGCCTTGCCTCATCTCAGAGGATTATTTAGGCAAGGCTATGTACTCAATCATAATTAAGTCAGCCTGAAATCCTCTTGTTTACTGAGGCATCTAATTGTGATTTTGTTCATGGTGGAGCCCCTAACAGCTGTGATGTTTTTCTGGCTGTGATTTTGTGTCCTGTGTGGATTTGCTGAGGGGGCTGTGTGTGCTCAGCATCAGCAAGAGGGAGGATACAGAGGATGTAGGATTTCTGCACAGACTCGTGTCCCTGATCTCTGTAAAATACTCCTGCAGCCCCCCAGCACTTTTGGGGAGGGCTGAGGAAGAGTCAGAGTTGTTGGAGCAGATGCTAAGTACTGGCTTAGTCTCTTCCTCTAACCCAAATAATGGCAAGAAGCTGGGAGGGATTTGTAGAATGGAAAGTGGAAAAATTCATGAACTTCATCTATTTGGATAGGTTGGATGATAAAAGTGAAACCAAAAAGGTCTGTAACTTTGGAGGGCAGTAAACTTAGTCTTTCACGTTTTGTATTTTTTTTTTTATCTTTTGTAACTCAGTTTTTTAGCAGCCTTCTGCTGGAAGGAGGACTGGAGAGGAACTGGAGAGGGACCTCTTGCAAGGGCATGGAGTGACAGGAGAAGGGGGAATGGTTCTTAATAGTTTAATGGTTTCTTTAATAGTTTCTTAAGCTGAAAGAGGTAGATTTAGATGGGATATTGAGAAGAAATCCTTCCCTGTGAGGGTGGGCAGGCCCTGGCACAGGGTGCCCAGAGAAGCTGAGGCTGTTCTTGGATCCCTGGAAGTGTCCAAGGCCAGGCTGGACATTGGGGTTTGGAACAACCTGGGACAGTGGAAGGTGTCCCTGCCCATGGCAGGGGTGGAACTGGGTGGGCTTTGAGGTCCCTCCCAGCCCAAACCATTCTGTGATTCTGTGATATCTCTGGTGCAACCCAGGTTGAGTCTGAGGGTAGGAGAGCAGAGAGGAAATCTCACAGGAGGATCAACCCAACAGAAGGAACAGCTTTTCCTACTGGTGAGGTTCCACTGACACCCCTACCCTCATTTCACACTCACACACAAAATAAAAGAGTGCATGAAAGAACCAGAGGGGGTCTTAAACATAACCCTCGTGCCTTGTGGGATGAGTTAGGCAGTGCTTTCCTCCTCTGCACACTCCCAGCTGCCTGGAACAGGTTTTGTGCTTCAGAGCCCCCTCCCTGCTGCCCCAGGCCAGGAGCAGCCACGCTCCTCCTTCCCTGGAAGATGAGACACCCTGAGCATCCTTTTCCCCGTGCTCACTGCAGCATGATAAGTAAACATCCCAGTCTGAGGCCATTGTGATTGTCTGGCTGACTCATGCCTTCAGGAATCTCTTTCTGGGGGGAAAAATTAAATTGCTTTTCGAGTGCATCTGGCTTTGATGTCCAACTCTGCCACCAAATATGGTTGAAGCTCAGAGATTTTTCGGAAATGCTTAAAATGCAGATGTTTTGCTGGTGTCTGCTGGCAAAACATCTGTCTGCTCACCCTGGTTAGTCAGGTTAGAGTTGAAACTGTCCTAAAGTTCACAAAGTCCTACAGATGTATTGGCAAATTGCAGCAGGATTGACTTAAATAGCTGAAATCTGAGATGATACAGTCACTGGTAATGGAGCTGGTCCTCTTGTGCACCCCAAACCCAGTGATTGCTGTGCCCAGTGCATTCCTTCTAAAGGAAAAGTTTCCCTTCTTTATTTTGTTTGTGGTTCTGATTTTCCAAGTGATGCAAACAGGTGAGTCCCAGGAGAGAAGGCGAAGCTGTGTGTAGTCCATTAAATAAGTAGTGTCAAATCCTTTCTAAAGCAATCATTTTTATCAGTTTCCACATGAATCAGCCAAAGGAAGAGCTCCCTGCTGCTTTGAGATGATCTGTGGGTGTAAATTTTGTGTCTGTGATTTTTATTTCCCCCCTTACACTCCCTAGCAGAGGTTATAAGTCTTCTGTGCCTGGTTCTGCAACAAATACATGAAATGTTTTAGCTGAGGCAGCTGGGGTTGTTATCACTGCATAAAGGTGCATTTGATTTTCAGAGTGGTTTGTGTGCTCTGAGAAGAACAGGAAAAAAATCTGACAGGTGCCTCATTTGTAAGTGTTGCCTACCCTGATGCTTTCCATGTGCTTTCCATAAGGAAGGAGTTGTGAGGATTGGGAGGCTGAGAGTCAATAGCAGCTGTCACATATTCCTGACAAGCTCCTCATTGCCTGTGGTGAGCAGCAGATCCTATCAGCAATCCCACTGCACCTTGCAGGCCCCCAAACCAGGAATAAAAGGGAACATGTTGGATTTTTGGAATCTTTTCCCAGTGTTTTTATTGTGTTTTAATGGGCAAAAATTAGGGCTTGGTTGTGTGGATTTATTCAAGCTTTTCCCCGTTGATGGAATTTGAGGTGCAGACAGCCCGAATTCCCTCACATCTCTTTGAGGTCTCCCTTTGCCATGGCAATGCCAAGGGAGAAGCACTTGCTGGGGATCCTCTTTCAGAGGTCTCACATGGATTCAGGGGAATTTTTGTGCTGGCATCTAAAGGAAAAGTCGTGTGGAGGGATGGGGAAGACACCTCAGACATGTTTAACCCCAAGGAACCCAAGGTCTGATCCTTCCAGTGGATCTTCAGCTCCTTCACCTGCAAAACAGAGATGCAGATAGGAATGGGAGGGGGAAAAAGGGAAGGAAGGGAGGAAAATAAAGTGGTCTGGGGAATTTTCTCTTTTACAATGCTATGAGGATATAAATTGAACGCTGGCAAGTTTATTTTTATTATCATGACAAGATGAGATTTGAATGCCCTATTCAAAACGAGCCCTCTCGCTCCTATCAGGGTCGAATAAGGAGCTTAATCTCTTTAACAATGCATGAGCCTTTACACTGACACAGCACTTCCTTCCTTTCTTCAGCTGCACGACTTTCTCAATATTGGCAAGGGGATTTCTGATGACATTGCACGAAGATTCCCAGTGTACGCGCTGGACTTCACCGATGGTACGTTGGCCAATGTTTATGGAAGCGCTGCCCCGATTGGGGATTTTTTTTTTTTGTGATGTGATGTCCTGTTTACAGTGTGCATTCAATGTGTGCTTTGATATGTGTAACAGCTCTCCTGGCCCTTGTTTAAAAAGGGTGTTTTGGCAAAAGCCTGTGAATGGGCAGCGTGGAGCACTAGAGATGAGGCTCCTGCAGCGTTTCCTTAATGAAGGTGCTGGCCGCGCGCAGATGAGGATTTTAATTTTTATTAAGCAGTGATTAAATGGATCGATTACCGCCGTGTGTAGACTCAGATCAACTCCTTGCAATCTAATTACTCAGCACTGGCCTGATAGGCCCTTTCTGCTGCCTCTACAAGCCTGCTCCACGCTAATTATAGTGATGCTGTGGGAGTTGAGAATGCTTAAACAAAATGTGAGCTGCAGTAACTTCAGCCCGGTGTTGTGACAAACAGGATACAGCTCGTCCGCTGCTGCCAGATCACAGGAGCAGCACACGGTGTTCATAGTGAGCCTCAGCTTTAGGGCTTCATGCAGCTCCCATAGTGGCCCTCGGGGTTTTTAAGAGTTGTTTTCTTCATTTTCACTCTCAGAATTTCGCTTTTTGAAAGGTGGGATGAATCTTCAGGGCGAAGTTGGGTTACACAGCCCCAGCCTGAGAGCAAAATGTGTTTTGCTTGTTGGGGAGCTGGTTAATATATTCAATATCATACCCAGAAACTTCAGATAAAACAGAGAATTAAAGTGTAGGAAGGGAGAACCTTGAAGATTTATCAGATAAATCAAGAATTTATCCCTTCCTGCTGTTAAATCCACCTTAGCTCAAGTCTGTGTCCCTTCCTCAGTGCTGTGAAGGCTCATGAGATGAAAGTGATCTTCCTTGGATTAGGCATAAAAAAACCAAGATGCCCACCCAGACCCCAATTTTCAGAGTCTTCTCTTGCAAAGCCACCTTCCACAGGCAGGTTAACCTTCAGGGAAGCCTGGCCAAGGCTGTGGATTTGTGTCCTCACTCCCTCCCAACCAGCAGAGGAACGAGAATGAGGTGCTGGCTTAGCACAGGGGTTGAGTGCTGGGTGCTTTTGCCAGGTGCTTTGGCACTGCTGGGATGAAACTATTTTCAGGAGACTCAGTGTGATGGGAGGGCTAATGCTGATTTCTCTGGGGATTCGAGGGTGTTTGGAGGAGGACAGAGGATATAAAATGATTTTCAGGGGAGCAGTGAGGATTCGGATAAAACATTAATTTTTGAATTGTGCATCACTGGCATCACGTCTGGCAGGGGACTTCAACTCCTAATCTGGACACTTCATCCCTTTGTCTGTTGCTTTCTAGAGCTGTCAAAGGCTCATTTTTCTTTATAAAGTGATATTGAAGCACTTGAGAAGGGAACTACAACAGAAGCACCTTGTGAGGGACCCATGCTCGCCTCAAGACAGAGCAGTGTCTGCTGTGCCTGTCTGAGCACAGCAGGCACAAAACCAGCAGATTTTGGTCCTGCAGCCAATTCTGGCTGTCAGCAGACTTGGAAATGCCCTTCAGGGTCCATATTGTGGTTCTGACTGTATCCATATGTCCCTGTGGGTGCTGCCTCAGCTCTGGGCTCTTGGCTGTAAGCTCTGCAAGCTTTGCATACATTGATGTACAGAATGGGCATAAAATTGGGATAAAATGCAACCACGAGTTAAAAAGTGTCTGTGTTTTGTTATATAACTTCTGGAGAGTGGGAAAGAGCCCAGTGAAACTCCAGATCTACTTCAGCTCAAATGGGAGGTTCTCACCTTAGGAGCAGTTGTGCCCTTTCAATAGGAAGTGGGGAAAAGGGGATTTTCTAAAACACACTGTATATTAGTATGGACATTTCTTCCCAGAAATCAGAAATTAGGACGAATTCTTTAAGGAACTGCTTGAAATGAAAAGCAGATGGAGCATGAAGCATCTGCCATAAACCACTGAGACTGAAGGTGATCAGGAATGTGGAATTCCTGGAGCATCTCAAAGCAGTGGTGCATCAGAACATGAGGGATTTGAACTATCTGAGTATCTGCACTTCAGACAGCCACATGTGCACCATCAAAGAGCTCTGAATTACAAAGATGCTGGGTTTTGAATGGTTGGAGTCTCTAAATCCTCAATCTGAGAAGCATCCCAGGGTTTGGGGTTAGACAGATAAATCTATCAGGGGCAGGTGATAAATAATGAGGCTTTTGGAGGACCAGCAAATCTTTGACCAGTTGGAGTTTTGTGGGATTGGTCCTCTTCACACACTGCACAAATTATCCTTAAAGGAAAAGTCTTTCTTTTTTTTTTTTTTTTTTTCCTCTCTCTTGCTCCAGATTAGGAACTCATCAAATTTGTTTTGTGGCAAAGCCTTGTGCAGTTTACTGAATGGGTCAAAGGATCAAGGAAGAGTTTTCTAAACTTTTGCTCCAGGATTTTGGTGATAAAGATGGCTTGTAATAGATGTCTTCCAGCAGGAGCATCTGAAAATGAACAATTGGGTTAAGCTGAGCCTGAGAACTCCTGTAGTTTTCCTTTCAATTGGAATTTACTCCGTTTGGCATGTGCCTGTGACCTTTGTGTGTAGGATTCTGTGTTAAAATACAGTGTGACTGAACTTCATCCTGATCCTGTCAAATTGGCTCAAAGCACTTGGGTATCAATTTTATTGCTCTTTAAGCCTCAAACTGTAGGAGCTTCCAGAAATTTCTTTATATTGAGGCTGGTTTGAGTGAAAGGGGATTCTGCCTGGACTCAGATACAAGATTTCTGAAACTCCTGAAAGCTGCTGTCCTCATTCTTCAGTGTTATTTTCTGGTGCAACACAGAGGAACAAACACAATTGCAGTGCCTGAAGTGCCCAGTGGGAAATTTGAGGTGCCTGAGATTTTTTTGTGGTGAGCTTTGATGCTGTGTTCTTACATATCCATATCCCTTCACCTCCTGGGGAGTGGAAATGAAGGAAAAAGAGGAGAACTGAGGTTTATTCTCTTTCTCCTGATTTTTCTGGGCCTGTGTCTTTGATACCTGGCTATGGTGGATGGAGAGTTCTGCTGGAAGTGTGGATTTCTCCCTGTCCTTGGTCCTGCAGAGGGTCCCTGACCAGCTCCTGAGATCTGCTGGCAGCATCCTTGGGATTTGCTGAGGTGTTTTGCAGGAGGGAGATCTCCAAAACTCCCTGAGGTGTGGGCATGTTTAGATGGAAGGCTTGAAAACATTGGAAAAATGGGATTTGAAAGAGAACTTCTGTTTTGCTGCAGTCTAAAGTAGCTCAGAGCTTAAACCTTGATCTGAGCCCAGAACTGAAATGTTGCCCATGCACTGGCTTTGACATGTGCTAAATCCTCATCAGCTTTCCTGTCTGGCTGCCTTGGCCACCTTGTCTGTCAGGATTCCCTTCCTGAGGAAGGAGGGGAAATAAAGGGATTGCAGAGAGGCTTTTGTTCTTCCCATCCATTCCTCTCCTGCCCTGGATCAGATATGAGGGAGCTCCTGCAGCCCTTCATCCCTAAATATCACCTGGGTACCAAAGTTTAACATCCTGAGCTTGGCATCATTCCCCAAAACATCCAGCCTGGGTTGCTTTGGGGTCTCTTTGTGTCAGTGGTGGATGGAAAGTTCTGAAGATGCATAAAAGCATCGTGTTTTGTCTGTGGATATTTCCTTGCTAGAGACCCAGGATTTCTTGGGAAATGGGCTGAAGGAAGTGAGCTAGAAAGGGAAAGGTCTGAGCCTTGATCTGATTTTTCCTGCCTCTCTGCTCTCAGCTTGGCTTCTGCTCCAAACTCCCTGAGTGGATTTCCTTTTCCAGTTGAGTTCTTAGTCCCACTTGTGTGATTTACTTTTCACAGGACTTCAGGGAAGATTCATCTTCACAACATTGGGCAGAGTCCAGCAGCCATCACATGAATGAAAGCCCAGCTTGAGGGTATTGGAAGAAATTTGTAATTCTGAGTTTTACATTTTTAATATTAAAAAGTGATTTTTTTTTTTAATTAGGGCTTTAATAAACACATCCTTGCTGCTATGCTGCAGGTCAGTGTAATTAACCTTTCATTGCATGGGATATTTTAGAGAATTAGGAAGAAACATTAACAGGCAGTTCAGAGAATGACCATCAGTTGTGATTTTGATTTAGTAAATGTACAATTAATAGACTTCAGGAGTTGTAAAACCCAGTTTTTAGGGCTGCTGGTCACTTACTGCCGTGGAATCCCAAGCAAAGGGAGGCCAGAATTGCTGCAGTTTCCTCTGAAACTGCAACCTTGTCTCTACAAAATGTGACATTTCAGAAATCCAGGCAGGAAAAATGGAACTGTCACAGTGATGAACAGAATTTCTCCCCATTCCAGTGTGTAGCTATACCTTAATTTCAGTGGAATGCTCCTGTAATAATCAGCTACTCAAATTCCACAGCTGGACCAAGAGTTGATTTTTTTTCTGCTATAAATTTCCGTGGTGCAGGTGGAGTGACACATTTTTTCAGTGGCTTTATGAGCCTGTCACAGATGAAATGCCATCATAATGCAGCTCACCTTCTTCTGAATGAAGCCATGGCAGTCCATGGGGCTGCAGAACATCCTGAAAATGTTTCACCAGATGTTGGCTTTTTGAAAAGGCAGAAAGGTAAATTGTGCTTTAATGCTGGATTTCAGTGCCTGTGGCAGCTGGGTCTGTACAAAGAGAGGTGATGTTTGGTCGTGACTGCAATTGAAGAGTGATCCATCAGTTTTTGGGAAGGAGTGTGTTAATCTGGTGTAATTATTGTCTCCATTACAAAGTGAATTTTGCTTCCCACCAGAAGGATTCTTGATCCTAGAATTTTATTTGGCCGATTATGGATTAAAGAAAGTGCTGGAAATCTTGGACCCAGCCAAGATGAGTCACAGAAGTTGGAAAAAACCCTCTAATATTGAGTCCAAGCTGTGCCAAATCCCCACCTTGTCACCAGCCCAGAGCACTGAGTGCCACCTCCAGTCCTTCCTTGGACAGCTCCAGGGATGGGCACTCACTGCCTCCCTGGACAGCCCATTCCAGTGTTTAACAACCCTCTCCACCAGGAAATTCCTCCTGATGTCCCACTGAACCTCCCTTGGTGCAGCTTGAGGCCATGTCCTTATGCATAAGGACCTCCATGACCAGCAAGGGCTCCTCTGCTGGGATTGAAGCTGAAAATGAGCTTTTGTGATACTCTTCAAGGTTTCTTCCTTCTGCCCTCTCTTAGTACAGTTTAACTACCTGAACCTTTTTTTGAAAAGATATTATTTGTTTCTCTGGACTGGTTGTCCTATCAGAAATTATTTCAAAACTTCCAGGCATTGTTGCCCCTGACCTTTCATATTGGAAAAACTTCCTTGTCCAAAAAGCAGTATTTTGGAGTGACAGAGAAGCCTCTGAACCAGGGTGTGACCGTGTCTACTCATGGAACCACCCCTCAGTCCAGTTTGTTTTGCCAAATCCTTCCTTTTGTCTTTGCTTTTCTCAAGCAGTTTGGAGTGTGAGGTAGGAGCCTGCAGCTGTTGGACTCAGGAGCACGGGAAGTCTCCATCTGTGAGAATTAAATTCCAGGCCCTTTGGGTTTCCAGGAGTGGTCAGGAATGTGACCTGTGGTTTCTGGATCTTCCCAATAAATGGAAAGGAATTTGCCTGGGAACAGCTGGTCCGATGACTCCCGAAAGGTCAAGCTCATATTTGCATGTTTGAGGTGTCTCTTATCAGGTTTTAGCCTGGACTTTGAGGATGCTGAGCATCAGAAATGCTGATTGTGTCTGTTCCTCTCCTGCCTGCAAGCAGGCACCTCACAAGGTGTCCTTTATTCATGTGCCTGCCTGCTCATTACACGTCACGTATGAATTTTGGGTTTTTACATCCTGCTCCCATCCTTATCTCTGCCCTGCAAATGGTGCAGAAGGCAGATGTTAGATAAGATCCAAACGTCATTGGGAGATTTGTTCTTTTCATTCCAGTGATAAAGATTTTCAGTGTGGCACCAATAACCTCTAAAGCCAAGCCCTCTTTTATCTGATCCAACTCATTGGATTTTACTTTTCTCAGCAAGGGACTGATGCTACAAAAGCTTAGGTGGGCATTTGGGAGCTCAGGGGAGATTCCTGTGTGGGAATTCTCTGCTCTGGAGCCTTCCAGAAAGGGGAATTGGGCACTCCAAGCTCTTCCAGCTGTCTCAGAGGAAGAGTCCCATCAAGGATGGTGGCACTGGCAGGCTGGAGGCTGAGGAGACTTTGTCCAGTGCATCCTCTCTGCTCTGTGGAAAAACTTGTGTTCTCCTGGAGCAAGATCAGCTGCTGTCATCTCATCCTTTCTCCTGTGCATCCCCAGTGAGCTCATATCAACATCAGCCTGAAAACAGGAAGGGGAAGGGAAGCTACTTCAGAGGCTCTTAAATTCATATTCTGACACTTAAATTCTCTTTCTGGCTGCTTTGTGTTTTGGCCTGGTGTGTTTTTTCCGATGGAGATGAGAGGGGTGAGTGGATGGAAAAGAGAGAGGCTGTTCTTTCAGCAGGGCCTGTTCAAGCAAATCTCAGTGTAGCCATTCCTGACCTCTGGGGCTGTTTGGTTTTGTGTCCTGCTGTCACTTTTTTGGCTCAGAGTAGCATATTATTGATTCAAACCTTCAGCCTTAGACTTTTATCTAGGGAAAAATGAATTGCTTCATGTTTTCCTGGCCAAGACAAGAATAGAGAAGACAAGAGATGGTCATGAAGCTCATGAGGGACACAGTCCAGAATGCCTGAAAAGTTCATGTTAAAAAGGAAAGGGTGGGGGTTTATGAACCCTAAACTTAGAGTTTCTACTTGATCCTTTTCCTTTAGAGACTGGCAAAACTGAGCAAAAGGCTTCTCGTATTTCCTGTTTTGATGATGTCGAAAACGCCTGGTGGCAATTTTGGTGCTACTTCTGGTCCCAGATGAACAGAAGAGTGTGGGTTGTGCAGAGCCACATATTAGCAATTTAGATACATGTTTAAAGTGTGGACTGAATTTCTGCTTCTGGAGATGAACTAACAGTGCCTATGGATGATTTGAGGAGGTTTTCAGTGCTTTACCAACATGATTTTTGTTGTGGTTTGCCCCAGGTATTATTGGGAACAACAAAGCTATTGGGAAATACATCACCACCATGATCTTTCTGTACTTTGCTTGCCTCCTTCCATCCATTGCCTTTGGGTCCCTCAATGATGAAAATACCCGAGGAGCTATTGGTGAGTTCATCAGTTTTGTGCTTCTTAAATTTGTCAGTTTTGTGCATTTGATTCCATGTATTCAAAATGTCATTCTGGTCACAGAAAGTTCTGATAGCTTTTATTTACAGGGAGAAAACAAACCCAAAACCACAACTAAAGGATTTTTTCCTAATTAAGTTAATGACTTTTGTAGAAAACCAGAAAAATTGAACACTGCTTTGGGTGTTATCATCTGACTTGGACTGATACACATGTATGCTACTGTATTTTTGAATTATGCTGACTTAATGTAATTATTTGCATATTTTTATTGGTACAAGCTCCTGTGCTTTTGATCTGGATTTAATTGCCAGTATTGAAATCCCTGGGACAGAGCTGAACATCATCCTTTATTCCAGTTGCAGAAGCAGTTCATACTGCAGTCACAGTTCAAACAACCACTGCTTATGTCTTGTAGGTGTTAAAATAAAATAAATATATTTAAAATGTATATATAAATATAATAATACACAGAAAAAAATCCCAGAGTCCACCAATTAGCTGAACACCTGGAAGCCTAAACTGAATAAATCTGGGTATGAATAAATTATGGGTACAAACAGAAGGTCGCTTTTTGATTCATGAGTGTGTTACCTCTGCACTCTTTAAACATTTCTCCTACTGGTTAGTAGTTGGTTTCTCTGCCCTGTGAATGCTGCTGGATGTGGGAGGGATTGATCCAAATGCTTTTTTTTTGTTTCCATCCTCCCCCATTCCAGATGTGCGGAAGACAATTTTCGGGCAGTGCATTGGAGGGCTGCTCTACGCCCTCTTCTCGGGGCAGCCCCTGGTTGTGCTGCTGACCACGGCTCCCCTGGCCCTCTACATCAATGGTGAGTCTGCTCCACGTCTGCACCTGAGGCTTAGAACGCTGGGTGAGAGCTCCATAGAGCTGGAGTTGTGTTTGTTTGATAAATTGATATTTTTCATGGCTGCTATCAGGGAAAGGTTCTCCCCCAGAGGATGGTGATGGTGGGGCACAGGAACAAACTCCTCTGGCAAGTTCCAGGGCACAAAGTCAAGGAATGATTGGACAAGGCTCTGAGGCACATCATGGAATTTTTGGGGTGTCCTGTGTTGGACTGATGATCCTAGGGGGGTCCCTTCCAGCTCAAAATACTCTGGGATTCTGCAAAACCTGAATGAAATTCCTCCCCTTTCCATCACCATCAGAATATCCTAAGTTAGAAGGGACCCACAGGGATCATCGAGACCAACTCCTGATTTAGTTCAAGTTGATTTTCTCTTTAAAGAAATCATTTTGCAGAGAAAAAACTTCATGAAACTAGGCTTCAGTGAGGAAATCTGTTTCAGCAATGGTTTTCTCATGTGGCTGTGTTTAACCAGCTCGAGACAAAGTTTTTTGGGTTTGTTGAATTTAAGGGTTTTTTAATTGATGTTTTAAAGTATGATCAGCAGCTTTCCAGGTACTGCAAGCTGATCTCAATGAACCAGAGATCAGCCAAAGGAGGAAGCTCAGTATTTGTGGGGATAATCAGAGGATGGGCTGTGACCAGCTGGAAAGAGCTGCAGTGAAACCCCTTGCTCAATAGCATCCCAAAATGTCAGTGAGAGCAAATTCCAACTGCTTTTGTGGCCTCAATCCCTAGGAAAAAATACTTTGAGCTATTGAGGGGGGATATTTTCCCAAGTGTCTCTCCCCATTTCTCGTGATGGAAAGGGAGAACAGTTTGTGTTGATCCAGTGTCCCTCTGGAAGTGCAGGAATATGAATTTAATGGTGTCTGTAATAAATGCATTGGGGTGAAGTCTCGAAATTGGTTCTTTTTGGCCTGGAGCAGATGGGAATCACTGGGTGGCAGTGACAGGAGTTGATTGTGACACAAGAATGCTTCACTTTTGCAGTCATCCGAGGAATCTGTGACGATTATCACTTGGATTTCAGCGCTTTCTATGCCTGGATTGGACTCTGGAACAGCTTTTTCCTTGTGATCTATTCCCTCTTTAATTTCAGCCTCCTGATGAAGCTCTTTAAAAGGTAGCTATTTTCAAGAAGTCATATTTTGATCAGATTATTCTTCAAATGGAAAAATTACACATTCCACAAGCTCCTTAATTACGAACTTGCTGCAAAATGTATTTTGTGAGATGAGGAAAGTATCATTTTGGTTTATTGTTCCAGCTTGAAAGAAGTTCTCTGATTTACTGGGTTTTGTTTCTAAGTTGGAGCCTAACTCAAATTGGTATATTTTCATGTAAATTGATGAATGTGCTGATTTTTCTTTGAACAGAGTTGAATGCAGCTCTATTAATTCCTGGGCTTTTTCCACAGGTCAACAGAAGAAATAATTGCACTTTTTATATCCATCACATTTGTGCTTGATGCCATCAAAGGCATTGTTAAAGGTAAGTCTTGCAACAGTGTTTTTCAGAGCAGATCTCTGTTTTGCTGCCTTGTCAAAAGCAAGCACAAGGCTGCAAAAAACGTGTCCTGTTTGCTTGTTCTGTATTCATTCAAAGTCTTCAGGGAAAAAAAGAAAATCAGTGTGTGTGAGATAGAAGCAGCCCTTTTGTCAGCAGTTTACCTGGGTGTGCAGAATTTTTAGCAGCTCTAATTTCAGCTGGTTGAGACTGAATTGGTTTTTCTAAACTTTCACCAAATGGAGAAACCATGATGTTATTGATGTGAGAGCCTTCTCCTGATTCCAGTTTGATTGTGAATGGTTCTGGCAAAAAAAAAAAAAAAAAAGTCCCATTTAAATGCAATGTCTGGAGTCTTTTTTTTTCTTGACACACTATTCAAACTCTGTGGAGGGGAGTTGAAAGATGAGTTGAGATTTCCTGGGTTTCCCTGAGCTGTGAGACCCTTCTTTAAGGGAGCAGCACAAGGACTACGGTGCCTCCAGCACGTTCCTAAAGCTCCTCTGCCCTTCCCAGCCACTTGGTTTTCCCATTTCTGGGTTAAATTCTGAATCTCCTTGGAGAGCTTTAGGGTTTAACAGATTCCTGTGACACTCCTCTCCCTCCCCACGGGGATTGGCAGGAGGTATTTGAGAATCACAGTAGCAGAAATACCTTCTGTTCATCGCAGTGAGGACTTGGACAGTGCCTCGTTCCTTGATTTTTATGACTTGTTGTCCAACATCCCAAAGTTTGGGCTATCCTTTGAAATCCTTCAGGATACACCCAAGCACATTCCTTGTTTTTAAGACACCCAGGCTTGCAAGGAAATGCTTTCCAAGAGATCTGACACTGCAGAGCAATTTGAAACGAGATACTTTCTCGCTTCACTGGGAATCCTTAATTTGCCTTGTGTGCTTTGATTGTGCAATCAGAGGGGTGTTTTTCTCTGCACAACACCTGCATCTTTTAAATATCCTGCTTAGAGGTGGTGAGGGAGAGATTTTTCTAGGGTGGTTGTTGACTCTGTGAGCTTTGCTGAGTGTGTGCTGTCTGTGCCCTGTCTTGGAGGCATGGGACAGTCTGCAAGTGGTCCTCAACAGAACATTCAGCTGCTCTGGAAAAATTAGCCAATATTCACAAGGTTTCTGTAGCCCAGAGCTGATCTCCCATAGCAGAGGTGTGGGGTGCAGGTTAAAAGTGCAGGAAGCATCCACTGGTTTTGTCTGCCAGACTTCCAGGAATATTCAAGTAAATCCTTGGAGTATTTCAGTGGGAACAGGAGAAGATCCTGTAAGACAAGGGGCAGTGGCCTTACTGACAGAAACCAGGTTTAGATTGGATATTAGGGAGAAATTCTTCCCTGTGAGGGTGGTGAGGCCCTGGCACAGGGTGCCCAGAGAAGCTGTGGCTGCCCCTGGATCCTTGGAAGTGTCCAAGGCCAGGTTGGACATTGGGGCTTGGAGCACCCTGGGCTGGTGGAAGGTGTCCCTGCCCATGGCAGGAGGTGGAACAAAATGATCTTAAAGGTCCTTTCTAACCCAACATATTCTGTGATTTTATGTTTTATTAGTGAACCAGTTGAATTCTCTTTGTACTTGCGAAGGGATGAATTTATAGGAATGATGGTAATAAAGTCACACCAACACTCCTTTGCCAGCTCACGATGGCTTCAGCTGCAGCTGGGAGTGTTCAGGGCATCCACATGAGGGACCTCCTGTTTCCAGGCACAGGAGGACACCAGTGCTGGCAGGCACAGACTTTGTCCTTAACCCTCTTAGAGCCCATATTTAAAAACATGACACCAGTGCAGCTCATGGCCACAGGCTCATCTTTGTTCTTCCCCTCCTGTTTTCGAGGAGGTGATGGTTCACTGCTGCCACCTCCTCCTCCCACTCAAAATTTTGGTTGAGCAGTTCAGTAGGAAGTGAAAGCTGGCATTTTCCCCATGCTGTTTAAACGTGTCCTGGTAGTGCCTTATCCAGCTGGCATCAACTCTGGGCTTCCTGAGTGCTAGGGGACAATGCCACCTCTTTCTAGATGTTTTCCCAGCCCCTTCATAGCCTTGATTTTTTTGCAAGGTACACATGCAGGAAAGGAGGGGAGGGCCCTGCCCTGCAGAGGAACCAAAGCCCTGAGCGTTCTCGCGGTCCCGGTGACACTTTGTTTGTGCTGCCTGGCCCAGCCACCGACGCTGTGTTTGTTTGATCTTGACATCTGCACTGGGCAGGAAATGGTGGTGAGCAGGCAGAGGAAAACAAAGCCAGCTCATGTTGTTGGAGCCTGGAGAAGGGTTTGGCTTCGGCCAGGGCACCCCCGGCTCCGCTGCTCTCTCTGGATGTTGGCAACGAGGTTCACTGAGCTCTGGTGTGAAAACAAACTAAAAATCTTCAGGAATCAAATCCTTCCCAGCAAGGTGGTATGGGACAAAGGCCTCCACTCTCTATCTTGGCATGTTCTTCTTGTTTTAATTAAAATACAAGAGTAAGGCAAGGTTTTTTTCCTCTATCCAGAAGGGACTGGAGCAATCCTGCCTGAATTGGTGCATTTAAATTGAATTGCAACCTCAGAGATGGAGCATGGAGTGATGTAGTCAAGCTGAGCACAAGGCACCAAAGATCAGCCCCAAATATATTATTGCAATATAGCCATCTGTGGGAGCTGGAGACAATCTACAAGACCCAAAACAAAGTCACTTGTTTGTGACTCATTCCAGTCCAAATCTTAATCCTGAGGAATGCAAATACATTCTCCGTAGTTCCTGTGTTGTTTGTGCTGCTGGTTTCTCTGATGCTCGGATGTGTCTCTAGAACTGAGTAGCACTCAGGGTGAGCAGGCTTTTCTCCCTGCCAGCTGTGAATTCCCAGGAAATGCTGCCAGAATCATTTTTGTCAGGACAAAAGCGTCCTTTGGCGTTCAGAGCCGGAAAGTGCAAATCTTCTAACAACCCATTCTGTGCCAGGCTGTGGGTCATGGCAGTGCCCTGGGCCCCAGTTTTACCTGTTTGCAGGGCAGGTGTGTGTGTGTGTGTGTGTGTCCTGCCAGGGCTGAGGCAGCTGGAGCACAGAGGGAGGAAATAAAGGAGAGCAGAGCCTCTTCCGTTGCACGCGATGGGGAACACGCGGCGCTGACGGGGTCGGGATGGGATTGCTCCTCCCTGGGGGAACCTTTGTGGACCCTTAAGGTGATCTCCTCGCTCCTGGCTGCTCTTGGTGAAGTTTGAGAGGTTAAATTTTGAACTGCAAACCTTCTGTGATGTTTAAATTTATGTACACATGTATTGGATGTGAGGCAGTCTTGTCTCTTCATGGCCCACGTGCTGCGCTGACCTCATCCACTTGTGGAATGCCCAGACTCCTTTTAAAACACCTTTAAATCCTTCTAAAGATGGTACAAGGAAGATCCTTACTGCATTTCAAATGGCTTCTTGGCTGAACTCGGGGCATTTTACACTGGAGTGAGCTCCAAATCAGCAGTAACACAACCTGGGCTTCAGCCAGACTCAAGGTGGTTGCGAATATCGGTTGTGCTGCACAAAAACTTTCAAAGTTTCTTTGCAAATATTCAGAATTAGTTTGTCTTCTCTGCTTTCCCTGTGGATGCTGCAGATGGAAAAGCTGAAATGTTTGGGGCTTTCAGAACCTGAATTATTATTCGAGGGTGAGGGAAATGTTAGGAGGTGCATTTTAGCCTAAGCTTCAGGTGGTTGTGTTTTTGCCTAGAGAGGATGGTCTTGCCCTGAAGTTCTCGATGCAAAGTTTGAAGGGGTATTTTGACTGAAATGAAGAAAGGTAGTGGGACTGCAAAGCTCTGGCGTGGTGGTTTCCATGCTCCTGTATTTCCCATGGGCACAGGGAAGTGTGGATTGCTGCATGTTGCCATTTGAGCAGATATTGTGGGAACACTGAGGCTGCAAGGCCCAATTCCCATCTTTTAGTTTTGCTTGCTCCTTCAAGCTATTCTTCCCTGAAGAGGGAGACCTGATCATTTAACCCTGAGGTTAAATGATCCCAAACCATATTTATACACTTGGAGCCATCCAGTGACATAGAAATGGGAACACAGTGAATGCTCAAGAGCAAGAGGCTCTTTCCTGTCCATTCCTTATAAAAATGCCTTTGAGCTGATCTGAAACATTTATGGACAGTTCCAGGGGCTTCACTGGGCGTTCTGTTTGTGCAGGTTTACTTCAGGTGCCCTGTAACTCTAACCTGCATCGTAAATGTAAATGTTCTGCCAGGTTTTGCATATCATCAGCACTTATCTCTAAAACCTGGACTAGCCTTGGAAGAAAAGTAATTACTGTACACTGTGTAATCCACTTAAGGATCTATGCAGCCTGGCTGCTCTTGGTGTTTCCAGAGAATCTTGATGGGGTTTGTTTGCCAGGCTGCTGCAAGCAGGTGTCTAGATAGAAATATTTATATGTATATCTAACAACAGTACTTCCAGTTTGGGAAAAAAACCACATAATTAGCAGTGGAAGTCCTTACAGTGTTGCTTTATAGATCAATGTAACTCTTAACTGTTAAAATAAGTGAAAAAATCAATTTGTGAAGCGCTGGCTTCCTAAGAGCAAAAGCTCTGATTCCTTTCTGCTTGAGAGGCAGAGCTGATGAAACATAACATTAATACTTCAAGATCAAGCAAGAAACTCCCTTTATTTTACTTGCTTTGATGGTCACACTCCTCTCCTAACACTCACCTGTTGGTCGTTTGTGCAGTTTTTAAGAAATACTACTACCACGGGCACACAGGAGGTGTAAAATCACGGGCTGATGCTATCCCAGGGCTGGGCATCAACACCACCTTCTTGATGAACTCCTCAGTGAGTGAGAACCAGACCTGCACTCACGATGGGCACTACGGGCGTGAGACCGCCGTGCTCAGCCTCATGTTGATGTTGGGAACCCTTTGGCTCGGCCACACGCTCTACCAGTTCAAGAAAAGGTGAGTTATTTAGAGCTCAGGCTGCTGATTATTTCATGTTCTCTCTGAGGGAGTAATTTACAGATGGTAGATCTTAATTCTGCAACCCAGGAAAATCAGGTGGAAGCCAAAGGCAGAGATGAACTTGGCAGGGCCACTTGGAAAATATTCCCAGCGGAACAAAATGTTCCCTCAGTGAACGATGCCCTCCTGTCTTCGGTTTGGCCTCACAAATGACTTTCTAAAAAAGCTTTGGGTTCCCAATTCATGTTGAGATCCCTGTATCTCCCTCCAAACAGGCATTGAACCATTTTGCTGAGCAAAAATTCCTGATGGTGCAGGAAGGTCTACTGGGAATGTACCTTCAGTGTGCTCTTGGGAGTCAAACACCAGCTCTAATTTGGGGTTTGCTCCTATTGCTCTTAGAACTCTTCATTTGAAATGCAGGAAGCAATTAAAGTGGAAATGAGACACAAATTGGTGCTTGAAGGCCTTTTTTTTCCTAGCTTGCATCTTATTTTCTTGATTCTTTGTGTTTTGCTTCTGCATTCATCAACCTTCAAAGGCTGTAAGTTCCAGAAGATTTAGGGCTGAGCGAAAGACTAATTCCTCACTCCAAATATCTCTTCAAAATTGCAAGATGGGACTGAATTCTCACTTCTAAAGCATTAAATGTTGTCTGGATTGAGTGATTGTCCTGGCAGTGGGGTGTTGATGGGAATTCTTTGTCTCTTTTGCAGCCCATATTTGCACGCGAGGGTACGTGAAATTCTGTCCGACTGTGCCTTACCCATTTCAGTCCTGACCTTCTCTGTTGTGGGTTCCTATATCTTCAAGGAAATTGAAAGTAAGTTCTGGTTTTGTTCTCTGGAATACTGGGGTTTATGAAAGAGAGAAGTCAAATCCTGGAAAAGTTTTGCTAAAAAATAAAGTTCTTCCATGTAATTTCACAAATGGCGTGTGTACATCCCACCAAGAGCTCAGATTTCCTCACTATTAGATTTATGTCATTCAAAACCCCAATTAAATGAGGCTGGGACAAGAAAAATTATCCAGATGTGTCTTTTCAATGAGTTTGAGGTGTGTGTCACAATAAGGGAGATGAACAATTTCTGGCAAAGAACAAAAGGCAGAGTAATCAGCAGGCAGGAAGGGTTGTTGCCAGTCATATCAACATGGAGTTGGTCGTCCCAGTTTGTCCTCTTAGTCTCCAGTTTGTTTTCCTCATTTAGGTGAAATGGTGCAGAGCATCTGGGCAGCTCTAAGTTACACAAGGAAATCTAAAAATGAGACACCATTCATTGGCCAGATAGATCAACTTTTCCATATCAGGAAGTGATAATGGGGACAGGAATTGCATTGTCCTGCAGTGACGTGAGTGGGTGATGTGAGGAAATGTATGGAAACAAATAAGAAATGGCTTTTTGTTTTTTATTGTGATGGCCATTCCATCCAGTTGGATTGCACAATGATGCGTGGCCGTGTGTGATTTATCCCTTGCCATGGATTGCTTCCAATGGCAGCAGAGTTTTGATTTAAATTTTATACTGAAATGCCTTGCACAGCTTGTTGGAGATGAGGAAGTTTCCAAATGCCTCTGTGGGTTGATGAGCTGAGCATTATGGTGCTGGTTAGAAATAAGGCTTTCTCATCTAAAAACACCTTGCAGCATCTGTGGAGGACAAGTTTCCCTCTTTTGTTTTGCTCCAATATCTGTAATGCCTTGCTAGGACTAGCAGTGGTCTGTCCCATCAGGATGGCAGCCAAGTCCTAAGTGGATGGAGGAAAAAAATAAACCAAACCAGCCAGATGGACCCATCTTCCACGGCCTCCAGGCTCCCACGTGCCAGAGCATCACGCCTGCTTTCCTGCTTGCTTCCCACTACTTTGTGCTGTGGGTAAAACGTTGATGGTTGGATAAGAAGGTGCCTCCTAACATCCTTCCTCTCCTCTTTGCAGTGTCCAAATTTAACTACAACGCCTCTGACAGCTTGTTTGTGCTGGCCCCTGTGCAGTCCCTGTCCATTGGGTCGGTGATGAGTGCCATGGGGCTGGGATTTCTCCTCTCCATGCTCTTCTTCATCGAGCAGAACATCGTCGCGTCCCTCACCAACGCCCCGGAGAACAGGTAACACCCTTGGTGCTGCTTTTCCCTCTGTGGGGGGACATCCCTGGCTCTGTCACCACCACTGCTTGCCCAAAGCTTGTCTGAGCAGCAGAAAATGTATTCAGGATGTGTTTTTAAGAATTCCTGTTGTCACAGGTGGAGGTAACTCTGCTTCTTAACTCCTCACCATCCCCAAAGCCCAGTGTTGTGGCAGAGAGCCAAAACCACAAACCCTCAACAAGCTCATCACCTCAACCTGTTTCTTCTTTTCTCTCTGCTCAACACCACTGTTTGTCCCCTAAAACTAAAAGTCTTGGGAGCCAAGAGGTGGCATAGTGAATGTGAAGTGGATGTTTTGTACAGTTTGAGGTTCTTTGGATGCACCTCAAGATATTTCGGGAGTGTCTGGCACATGTGGACACTTGCACTACAAAGAATTTGTTGAAAATGAGAAGTCAATGACCTACATAAATGTTGTAGCACAACGTGCTGCAGCTGAGCATCAAGAGAGTTTGGAGCTGGTAAATTCCACCTAAAAAAAGGTGAAAGTGCAATAAAACAACATGTCCAATGTCTGATAAGTCTCACTTATGTGCAAACTTGAGATGTTACATTATTAAAATATTCCCTCTGATGTTTTTGTGCCAACTGCAATCAGATGTGATGTCAAGAATGAACGTGGATGACTTTTTTCCAGGGAAACTACCACGTCTCCGAGGATTTTTTGCTAATGTGATGCGTGGGAGGGTTCTCTCCTTGCATAATATCCATTAGCATTCTCCATGTTTTAGCTGGAGTGACACAGTATTAGGAGAGAGGAGACAAGCTCAAATTCAGCTACACTAATTTAGTTTCCTTTGACCACCTCTTATCTCTATTATATCCCTTTAAGTGTTGAATAAATCTGTATGTAAGTGGGTCATCTCTTGGCTAATATGAATTTCTTCTAAACTTTCGGTATTTTCCACTAGAATATCTTGAAGGAATGTAAAATGTTCTTTGGAGTTTTTCAGAGTGCAGGGCTGGGCTGATGCTGATCAGGTGTTGGGGCAGGGATTTTTAGAGATGGAAAAACTAGGACTTGACACCATCTGTTTGTGGTGCCATCACATTCACCTTGCACTATCCCAGGTTGCTCCAAGCCCCATCCAGCCTGGCCTTGGACACTTCCAGGGATCCAGGGACAGCCACAGCTTCTCTGGGCACCCTGTGCCAGGGCCTCACCATCCATACAGGGAAGGAATATTTTCTAATATATAATTTAAACCCACTCTTTGTCCATTTGAGTCCATTCCCCCTTATCCTGTCACTCCAGGCCCTTTTAGATTCTCTCCCCATCATTCTTGTAGATCCCTTCAGGTCCTGGAAGGCTGCAATTAGGTGACCCCAAAGCCGTTTCTTCTCCAGGATGAGCAATCCCGATGCCTCAGCCTTTCCTCATGGCAGAGGGGCTTCATCCCTCACATAATCTTGGTGGCTTCCTCTGGATTCATTCCAACAGGTTGATGTCCTTAAAGCCTTCTGAAAAGAATGGGGAGGACAAGAAACAATAACCCTGAGGGTGCTGAAGGTGCCTTTGCTCAGAGAAAGCAGCACGTGAGCAAGGGCTGTGTTTCCAAAGCGTGAGCCAACGCAGGAAACGTGTTTGCAATCCCACCCTTCCTGCCAGCACCTTCCAGAGGCTTTGCAGGGTAGACACCTACCTGACCCACTCACCCCACGGCCTCCTCAGTCACTGGAAGGAGACACTCCCAGTGGGACCAGGCTTTTGTCCCAAAACTGAGCCCCACCCAAGATTTCTGCTGCCCAAACAATGGCTTTGATCTTCATGTGCTGGGTCAGCTCTACCAGCTCCACGTGCCTCGTGTCCAGGAGTATCTTGGATGGCTCCAAGTGTGTGCTGAGGTGTCAGTGGAGCCTGTTTGGGTGGCATTGACACATTTAAGTGGGAGTGCCCAGAGAGAATTGAGCTGATCCCTCACATTGTGTGAGGATGTCAAGTGCTCCAGTGGCAGAGATAGAGCCTTAGACCTTTCAGTGAGGGTTTAAAGCCTGAGCTGAATCGTTCCCCAACCTTTTTTTCTAAACTTTACTCATAATAGCTCAGCAGTTGGTACAAGATGGGAATGTTTAGGAAAAGGGCAGACCTTGGAAAAAAATAGCAAGGTTAAAGTAGATAGATGGGAGTTCTTGGTGCTGCTTTCTGCACAGTCCTGGCAAAGTGGGTGTGCTCGGTTTCCTCAGTGAAGGCTGTCAGATTCCCTATCCCCTAAAAATCAAAACAGGGAAGCTCTGCAGCATTTGATGAACTTAGGAGCAAATCTCCTTGGCTGGCTACCAACCTTTTGGAATGTGTTGCCCAGAGAAGCTGTGGCTGTCCCATCTCTGGAAGTGTCCAGGGACAGGTATAATGGGATCTGGAGTAACCTGGGCTAGTGAAAGTTATCCCTGCCCATGGCAGGGGGTTGGAAGTGGATGATCTTTAAAGGTTCCTTCCAACCCAAACCATTGTGTGATCCATTCCATGATTCTGTGACTACCAAGGAGGAGCTGAAGTTTAATGAATTCCTGTCCCATTTTCTTATCATGCAGTAGCAATTACATAATTAGGGGATTACTGCAGCATACCAAGCACGTGTTCTGCTCGTGGGGAAGGAGAGAGATCAGGGTTACAAACAAGAAACTTTAGTGTCAGTGCTTTGACAACAAATGCTCAGGATTTTATCCACTTTCTGTGTAGACTCTGCAAGCAAACACACGTGTAGGATTTTGTGTAGACTCTGTGATAAATGTAGGAGGAAAATGCTGATGAAATGTTACTTTAGTGGGCTGCCTTTCTGCTCAGAGTTCATCCTTCCAGATAACAACAGCTTTGAGAGCAAACCATCACATTTCACCACCTTTAATGTTCACCCCGTGCCGACGGTAAATCCAGAGGTGTGAAATCTGTGCATGAGAACGCTTGAGTGTTCAACAGAGGCAGCCTGCAGGGTTTGCACCAGCTGTAACTGCTGTCCCCAACCCTCATTGCAGGCTGGTGAAGGGCACAGCCTATCACTGGGACCTGCTGCTCGTGGCACTGATCAACACGGGGCTGTCGGTCTTCGGGCTGCCCTGGATCCACGCAGCCTTCCCGCATTCCCCCATGCACGTCCGGGCCCTGGCCTACGTGGAGGAGAGGGTGGAGAGTGGACACATCTACGAGACGTGAGTAGATCCCTCTGGATTCATTTGTGGCTTCCCAATGCTTTGGGAACTGTGGGTTGCATGGTTGGGGTGTTGGCTGTTGTATTCCAGATGAAAGTGATGCAAAGATGCACCCAAAGAGCCTTGATTTGGCTTCATCCCCTGCACTCCAGCACTCACATTCATGCTCTGGCCACTGGCAGCATCCTACAGGGATCCCACCCATTCCATTGCAAATTCTCCTCTGGAAAAGTCAGCCAAGGCCATTTTCAGTTTCTGCCTTGTGGGAAGCTGAGGAGATGCTTTGGCTGGATCTCTCTGGATGCTTTCCCCAGAAAGAATCCAAAGCTGATTCACTGCCTGAAACCTGTCTGGTGGTTATTACGAAGGGGAGGAAAAATGCACCATTAATTCAGAGCTCCCATAATATCTCCCACCACAATTTGGGAGGGAGATGCTTAAATTCTCTGGGTTTGAAACCAAAACAATGTGAAGCCATGGCTGGGTCATGGGTTTCTATTTAAGACCAATTCTTCTGCTGCTCTGAGTTGAGCAACACATTCTTATCACAGATCTATTTAAAAAAAATTAAAAACCTTTTTCTCATGAAACAATCTCTACTCTGGAGCAGGTCTGGCCCATTTGATCTCTGTTGCAGTTGAGTGCTTTTACCACACAAGTGGTAATTTCCACTCACATACCATTAGTTTTAATTATCCTGCCTGGGTTTCCATTTTCTGAGTTGCCACTTACCAAAAGTGAGGCTAAGTGATCATTGACTTTGGGGAATGGAATGGGTCTGTCTTCATCTCAGTCTTGCCTTCAGGCTTGTTTTGGTGCCAAATGGCCCAGCCCAGCCAGGCACAGCTGATTTTTGGGTCAGGGATGGGCAGATTTCACCTTCCACATCTGGAAATTGCTGAGTTCTGCTGCTCCCTGTAACTCTTCTATGGATCTTTTCCTGGCAGATCAGTCCCTTGGGTTTGTATTCCCATTAGGACATGTTGCTATCACTTGTTTCCACAGCTATATCTCTCTTGAATAAATGCTAAACACCAATTTAAAGAAAAAAATCACTTTGAAATTGGAGTTCTGTAGGGTTTTAATCCATGCCCTTGCTCCATGATGTGCTCTGGGATATCTCCACTCTCTGTTTCTTTGAGACATGCAGAACTCACACTTTGAAACCCATGTGCCAAACCTCCCTCCTGTGTCTCCTGTTGTCACTTTTCATATCCAAGTGCCTCTTTTTCCTGTTTTTCCACTGTCATGATTCTGTATTCTGGCTTTGCCTTGACAAAGTCAAGTCCCCTGCCTGAACTAAGGATTAATTCTTGCACTTGTCCTCTCATCTTTCACCCAGCTGCCCCCCACCCCCCATAAAAAAAAAGCACCAGAGAGGCCTTTTTGGCCACTCTGACCTAGATACAGCTCCAGTGAATATCCTGGAAGGGTTGGGGGCTGCCCTGATCCCCCTGAGTGTGTTCCCTCATGGCACAGCTCTGCTCTGCTGGAGGCAAATCAGTGCTGGGAACTGGATATTGGGAGTGAAAAAGGGAATGAGGGTTTTCTAGAGCTTTGAACTCCCTTTGAGACCAAAGCTTTTTGTTCTCTGCAGAGCACTGAGGCTAGAACAGGAGGCTCCAAGCAATGTAGTCATCCTTTTTTTTTTTTTCTTTTCTTTTTTTTTTCCCCCCTCTTAGCCAGCTCTGCTGAAAAAGAAATGAAGCTCAATTAGAAAATCAGCTCTGTCTCCCTTGGCAGGCTCCTTCCCTGCACTCAAATCAAAGCTCCCACAGGATGATGATATAAACAAGGATAAAGATCTGTCACAGTGAAAGCAAAATTTTCTTCTCCCCTGTAGAGAAAGGATTGAAGTTTCCTGTGGCAATCTGCAAACAGGCTCTTGTTGCTTACTTGGAGAAGTTCAGGAATGGCTAATCCCATGCTAGCCATATTTAGAGGATTTGGGGGAAATGAGCCTGGATTATGCTCTTTAATCTCCATTAATTACTTGATTTCCATCACAGCACAGATTTTCTGGAGCTGTTTCCTCAAGGGCCAAACCAGATTCTGAACACACGGAAATCAAAAATTCCTCTGTTGACTTAATGTGACTGTGATGTTCTTATTCTGGAAATGAGGTGCTGGAATTAGCAGAAGACCAATCTAAATCTGGGAACATCAGTTTTAAAAATACCATGTTTGGCCAATTATGAGCAATTTTAGCTGTGTTCTGATAAAATATTTCAAACTAATAAGTGGCGTTTGCAGGAGCTGGCAGCAATTGTAGTACATCTTGTCTGTGATCAAACACAATGCTGTGATTGCTGCATCCCTAAGAGATGGCTGTAGAAAATTCCATGAACTTCAGAAATCTCTTACCGAAGGGGGCTGTCACTCTGAGCTTGTACTTGCAGCCTTGCAGCTGATGGAAATGTGATTTTGAAAATTTGATTGAAATTTGTGGGTTTGTTTCCCGAGCTCTTCCATTTGCATGACTTCCCTTGCAGACTTGTGTGTGCTTGCAGGGCAGGAGCCTCCCCAGCAGGAGGGGAGATTTGTGTCTGAAAGAGCAGAAATTCCTCCTCTGTGGCTGACCTGGTGCTGGAGGAACTCTTGCTGTGCCTGGATGAGGTTAAATCTTTAAACCCCTGCTTCTCTGAGCCACCACAGAGGCTCATCATGGTTCTGGCAGCTCTGGAGTGGCCACATTCTGGAATTACTCTGGTCCAGCACTTCCAGTTGCACTTTAAGCTGCTTGGCTCTGTTCATCTCCAGGATTTCTGTGGTGATCCGGACCTGGGGCAGTGGGAAAGATGCCAAACCCATTTAGGTGATGTCCCAGTTCTACCAGGGCTAGCAAGAGTGAAGAGCTCTGCCCTCCCTCGGCTTCTCTGGGCACTGGCAGGGACCCCTTGGATGTAGGAGACTTGCAAGAGGATCCAACAAAATCTCTTTGGAAGGAGCAAAGCTGTGGTTTAAACCTGTTGGAAGGTTACTTAAAGGTTTCAACACCTCTGTGCATCCTGTCCTGGTAATCCTGGATGATTTCAGGACTTTGTGTGCTGTTTGTGGTACCTGTTATTCCTTAGGTCTCATGATTGCTGGTGTTAATTCTGCCTTGTTGGCCAAATTCTCAGAGCAAGCTTTGGGCTGTCACCCTTTCCCTCCCTCTCCAAATACGGGTGTGAAAGGACCTTCATCCCCTCAGCTTCATTCTGCTCCTTGGGGGTATAAACAGATTTGAAGTTCATCCTGACTTCTAAGCAAAACTCTCCAACTTAATATTGCAATAATTCAATCATCTTTAGGACAGAAGGAATTAGGAAGTCCTAGCAGTGCATGTGAAAAGGAGGGAACTGTGCTTTGATAGATCTCTGATGATAATCCTCAGAGAAATTTGTGTACAGGGTTAATTCAGAATTTGAGGGGTCTCATACAAGGAATGAGGTCACTAAATGACACCAAAACAGCCTGTGGACAAAAATTTTCCCTCCTAATTAGGGGGATGTATTCACTGGCTTATAAAAAAACTGGCTTGTGAAAAAAATAAATTTAGGAATCCGCTTTTTCTCTATATGTAAGTAGTCTTGACAGATGTGGGTTGTCTTTCCTCCTGTTGTTTCTGGTGATTTTTTTCAGACTGGGAGGAGATGCTCACAGATTTAGCTGCAGTGCAAAGAAAACACAGCAGCCTCCCCTCAAGTAGGTTGCTAAAGCTGCTGCCTGTTTTCCTGTCAATCTTCCCCTTAAAAAAGCTCAATTTGTGGCCTGTCAGCTCTGGAAAATTTGCATTAATTAATGACATGTTTTGCATGGTAATAGGCAATTGCCCACAGCAGGATTGAATCCCTGTGTGGTGCTCTCAGCATTCCCTTCCATGTAAACAGGGAGATCCTCGTATCCATCAGAAATGCTGACTCGCTCTCAGGAGACTGCTGACTTTCTGTTGTGTTTTTTTTTTTTTTTTTTTTTTTCTCCAAGAGGTTCCTTAGTTCCTGGAGAAGTCAATGAGTTTTCTTTGGGACAGAAGCCAGTTGCATGTGCCCAGGGTAAATCAAGGAAAGGATTACTGCCCAGAAAGAGGATTCTTGCCTGGTTTGTTTTTTTTGTTGTTGTTGTTGTTGTTGTTGTTTTTTTTTCTAGCATAGTGTTAAACAGAATCAGTGTTGAGGGCAATTTAGTTGAGGATAGGATCTGTAGAGTTTTGCAGGAGGGGAATTTTGGCACTTTTCCAGCTGCTCTGTTTGAGCTGTGGATGGAGTGCCTGGCCTGGCTCCAGCCAGGCTGTGCCTCCTCGCTGTCAGCACGGGGCCAGCAGTGCTGACTGCAGAGCGCTGGGGATGAGTTTCCCTTGCCTTGTCCTGCTCCTCCATGGAGCAGCCACTGGGATAAATTATGGATTTTACCCCATCTACTAACTCCTCTTTCCCTGCTTCCAGGATTGTGAGCGTGAAGGAGACGCGGCTGACGAGTCTGATGGCAAATTTCTTGGTGGGGCTGTCACTGCTGCTCCTGCCCTTCCCCCTGCAGTGGATCCCAAAGCCGGTGCTCTTCGGCCTCTTCCTCTACATCGCCCTCACCTCCATTGATGGCAACCAGCTCTTTGAAAGGGTGGCTCTGCTGCTCAAGGAGCAGGTACTGCAGTTGTGTTTGCACCCCGAGCACACAGCTCTTCAAACTCTTGCTCTCTCAGTGTGGGATTTTTTTTGTGAGATTTTTTTTTTCTTTTTTTGGGAGTTTTAAACCCCCCTGTGCTGTCGTGTCATTTGCAGAGTACATGCATTTAAAAAAGTAATAATATAAAAATATAAAAAGCACAACATCAGGAAATGATGATCTTTGATTTCCCCAACAAAGCTTCAGGCAGGTAATTATTTTTTGGTGCTGTTTTACACTTTCATTTTGTGTGAAATACCACAAGATGGGATTTTGAACTCAAAATGAAATTACTTGTGTTATTGAGACCTCTGTGATGTGGGCTGAAAACAAACCTGGGAGATGTTTTTTTCAAATCTGTCTCTGTTAGAGGTGTTAAAAAGGTGTTGTTTGGCAGCGTAGGTGGTACCTGGAGCAATCTCCAGCTCACCTTCTCTTATGTAACAAGGGTTTAATAAGCCCAGCGTTTGACTCTGCATCTCTGCTAATCTGTCTTGATCTCCAGTATTACATCCCAGAGGTTAAAACTGAAATTTGGGTAAAGATTACATTTGTCATGTCAATTTTTGAATGAGGGTTGAAGAGCTGCTGATCTATGTGACTTATTACTTCTGGTTTTAGTAGGAATTACGTATGGAATTTTCCAGGTTTTGGTGTGGAAAATTAAGAAGTATTCTCAAATATGGAAAACTCCCTTTTGTGGAAACCTCTTAATGAGTCATGGCACAATCTGAAAGCCACTGAGGCTGTGCTGGTGCCAGCAGACAGTCGCTCATCCTCTTCATTGATGTATAGACAGTGAGTCAAAGCCTGTGCTCAGACATGAGCGAGGAACTGTCAAAAGAAACCACCATATTTAGCCTATTAATGTCATTTTTTTCCCCCTTTACTTCTCAAAAATGGGTGGCTTATAGGAGCTGAGAAAATCCCTGCATTCTGAGCACAGCCTCTTGCTGCACTTCCCTCATCTCTGGTCTTCCCATGATGGGGTTCAGCCAAGAGATGGGAGCACCAGGGGCAAGCCTGGAGCCTTGGAAGGCTCGAAAATAATGAGGAGCTGGGTGTCAGGTGGAGGAAACATCGACAGGAACAAGAGCTGGATTCATCTGCTCTCCTTCCCCCTGCACACCCCCACGGGCACCCCCTGGCTGTCCCAATCCTCCTCGGGGAATCTCATTACTGCACTGCCCAAGATATTCCATTGCATTCCAGATGTTCCCAGATGTTCCCAGAGGCAGTCCTGGCCCTGAGGGGTGTCCTGTCCTCTCTCCAGGCTCTCAGTGCCCAGTCATCCTCTGGGTCTCACTGCCAATGCTGTGGTTTCAGGCACTGGAATTAACCCTACAAATCCCGTGTTCAGCTGCCGAACCTTTTAAGGACCCTGATGTTGATGCATTGCCTGTACAAATTGATGACTTCCCTCAAACCCTGGTGTCCCAAAGCCCCATTCTGCTGTCACAAGTCCAGGTCCCTGCATGTCTGACTGTGGTTCTTCTCTTCCCAGACTGCTTATCCTCCGACCCATTACATCCGCAGAGTTCCCCAGAGGAAGATCCACTATTTCACAGGCCTGCAGGTCCTGCAGCTCCTCATCCTTTGTGGCTTTGGAATGTCACCCCTGCCTTACATGAAGATGATCTTCCCCCTCATCATGATAGGGATGATCCCCATCAGGTAGGAAGCTTGGCTTTCTTTTTTTCCCTGTCTCCCATGCCTTGGTTTTTGTTTGTTTTTTTTTTAATCCAATCTGTCAGTCTTGGATTACTGGAAATTTGAGGAGAGGAGAAACTGGGAGCTGGGCTTGTTTAATCTGAAGAACCGTGAGAGGGGATCTCACCAGTCCATATAAATATCTCCAGGATGGTGCCAGGCTCTTTCCAGTGGTGCCCAGTGACAGGACAAGGACTAAAGGCCACCAGCTAAAACACAAAAAGTTTCACCTCAACATGAGGAAGAATTTCTTTATGTTGAGGGTGGCAGAACACTGGAACAGCTGCCCAGGGAGGCCATGGAGTCTCCCTCTGTGGGGACATTCCTGTGTCACCTGCTCCAGGGGCCTTGGACTGGGTGATCTCCAGAGGTCCCTTCCAATCCCAGTATAAAGAGTGAGTGGTTCAGGAGGCTTTTCTGCATTTTCCAGACTAACCAGCTTCTGGAAGTGGGTAATGAGGAGGAGTTTTTTACCAGCTGCTCAGGCCTGAGGAGGAATCAGGATTTCACTGTTGCTGGGAGTTGTGCAGAGGGTTCTGGGCTGGCTGGAAGTGCTCTGCTTCCAGCTTCCCAGGAGATGAAAACTCTGCTTTTTAGTCCCTGTGAGGTGTCTGACCTGCCTGGGAAGCCATAGTCCAAACCTCTAGGTAGTATTTGATAATGTTCCTTATCACTTTGTAATTTGATTTCCTCAGGCCAGTGCTCACAGCAGAGCTGGAAACTTTTCCTCAGAGGAATCTTTATCTCTTACCCAGTGCTGTGGTGACCTCACAGACCTCCTGCACTGCTGGGTGCCCCTGTCAGTGATCAGTTGAGTGAAACTGGTCACATTTAGATTTAAGATAAATGTTTAAAGCTGGGAAGACCCCACAATACCCTACAGTGTTGAGAGAGAATCATTAAGAAATTCAACTAATTTCTTCCTTGGGGTTCATTAGCAGCCACTACCCATCATTCTCCAGTTAAATAATTCATGCTCTCAGTCTTTTGGATATAATGAGAGGCCATAATAAGATCTTGGAATGAACAAATCAAGTTTCCAGTCCACTTCATTATTTTTAGGCCATCATGGTACCAGTGATATCTGCTTGACTTTGAGCTTGCAGTCCCAGAGCTTTTCCCTGTGATCCCAAAGTTCAGGACTGCCAATTTGCTAATCTGCATCACCTGCTGTGCTGTTTTCCTTGGCTGATAAAAGATGGGTCCAGTCCTTCCTGAAACAAAAGCAAATGTCACAGCTACCGTGGCTTTCAACAGGCTCCTGTCAGAGCCATTTGGGCTGGATTTTAAAAGATAAACAGGCTTGGAAAACACAGAAATTCTTGTTCTTGTGGCAGTAATGCCTCACCTGCCCTTCACACTTGGGCTGTCTGGATGAGTGGCTGGTAAATATTCCAACTGTGAGCAGTGCTGCATGAGTGGCTCTTGCAGGAATCCCAGCTTTGCACCCAGGGCAGCTCAGTGCAGAACAGAAAACGTGGGGCACACCCAGCCAAATTCAGGTGTTGGACATGATACAAAAAATTAGTGTGGAGAGAATGCAGTCAAAAAACCTGATCTTGTACTAAAAGCTGGATACTAATATGCAAATATATCTTCTTTTCAGTAAATAAGGTGCTGTCACTTTATACCTTCTGTGTTGCTCACTCGTTTTTCTTTCCAGGGCAGTTTTTTCCCAGCAGCTGGATAATCAGCTCTGCTGCCAAGGGGAAGATGCTGCTGCCTGGCACAGCATGGAAATTTGCCCTTGGCTTTCCTTCCTCTGATTTCTTTTGCCTTCATGTAGTTTCTGTGGCCTCCAGCCAAGAAGGCAGCACCATGATCCATGAGCCCTGTAGTTAATGACTTTTACCCAAAGATTTGGCACTCTAAATAGATGAGGCAGTTGAAGAAATTTAATATATTTTCTCCCCCACCTTTTTTTTTTTTTTTTTTTTTTAATTTTTTTTTCAAGAAGTAAAGGGAGAAAGAAGAGATGGGACAGTAGCCAGGGGGCAAAATCAAGAATCAAACACAAATAAGTGAGGCATGGCTTGGTGTCCCATCCAGAACACCAGCCACGTCCCAAAGCCACATTTCCATCCATCCAACAGCTTTGGAAACATGATTTGTGTTGTCATTAGTGAGGGATCTCTGCTGTGGTCTTAGACAGATACTGAGAAGCCACTGAAATCCATTACTGCAGTGGAAAGCAGCCTGCTGGAAGAAAACTTGATCTCTTTGGGTATTCCCAGTTCCTGGCTTGGATTCAGAACTTTGGGATGATGAGTTTTTGGTTGCCCACAGAAGAATCTTCTCTCCAAGCTGTCTCTTATCTGGGCTCTCAAGCATTTTCTTCTATGCTGGGTCTATTTAAGGAGATCCTGATATTTCTCATTAATAAGTGGTGTTTGGGATCTCAGCTGTTGAAACCTGAAACTGATTTTTTGGTGCTTTATGAGTTATTTTAACAGCTGAAGGGTCACTTCCTTGTTAAACAAGGGAAAATGCCACATAAATGTGCACTGAGATTTAGAAGAGCAACTTCACAGCGCCTTTCTAACTCAAATACATTAATTTGTGAGGATGTTCTTGCAAAAAATCAAATTTAAAAAAATGTTAAAAGTAAGGGAATCTCTGTCTCCACGTGGAGAAGCCAGACACCAGGTCGGGATGGTCTTGTTTGGAGTCATGGCTCTTCACCTTTGTATTTTTGTCACCCTGAGGACTTGGTGACAGAGCTTTAGGAAAGTGTTGTTCCTCCTGTGAGACTGAGGACGTTCTCTCTGCTTTCCAGCTGAAAGAAAACTCTTCCAGAGGGAGCCAGGCACTGCTGTTCCTATAAATAATCACTGTGTTTGCTTGCAGGATTGGTTGGTTTTGCTGTCCCTCACTTTTGTGTCCCCCTCAGCTTGGCCAGACTCACCTGGGAGCTTTGGGGCAGAGAGAAAAACGCAGCATAAACCAGGACTGACCCCTCCTCTCTGCTCTGCCTTAGGTACAACCTGCTCCCGAGGATCATCGAGGCCAAGTACCTGGATGCCATGGATGCAGAGTACTGAAGGCAGCAGGGACAGCTCCTCTGGGGCCACAAAAGGCGTGGGACCATCCCCTGCCGTTTTCTTTCACCACTTTCCTCGTGCTCTGACGTTGGCAATGCACTCCTGGCACAGCTCCACGGGGTCTGTGCCAGACCAAGGGAGCCTTGGACTTGAGAGGACGATGCTCTCTGGAGCTGTGAGGCGAACAAGCTTTATGGAAAATGCTCCTTTCCACAACCCCAACCCCACAAACCCCAAAGATCAGCCTGGCTGCACGGTTGGAGCATCCAGAGTTGTCCTGGGTTCCCTTGTTTGAGGGCGGGGGGGGCTTTTGTAATGCACCACATCCTTCTCTTCCCCAACACTAAGAACAGCAACTGACCCTTGTTTTCTAGAATGACAGCCCTGTCCTGGCCTTTGAATCCAATTCCCTGTGCACCCAGTATTCCCAAATTGGTGTTCTGGGTGGGATGGCCTCGTGCTAAACCAGTGATGTCAGGAGAGATGGTGGCTGTTGTCTCAGATTAATGGGTTTGGAAACAGTTGCAATGTGTACTGCTACAAGCCACAGCTTTGGATGGATTTTTAATTCATGCACATGAGCTGGGAACATTCAGAGGCTGGGCTCACAGAGCCCTGTGGATGAAACCCCTTCTGGGTTTGAGCTGTTTGGGCATTAGTTTGGATCTTCCTCCCATTTCTCCTGGGTAATCAAACACAGAATTGTAGGTTTTGCACAACTGCAGCATTTTTTGCTTGCACCCAGAGGGCAGTTGTGTCGAGGTTACATATACATATGTACAGTAGTGCCTATGTGTACATATATACATATGGAGTTGTGTATATATTTTGCATAGATATACAAATAGGCCTGGTTCTTTCCAAATTCACAGGTGTTTTGTGCAGTCAGTGTTACCCACCATGTCCTGACCATATACCTGTTCTCTGCTTCAGTGCTGCTTTTTCTCATTTGAGATATGGTCACTTTTATTCCTTTGGAAGCTGCTCAGTTACTGGTTTTGTTCATGTGTTGCTTTATTCAAGGTGTTTTCTTTGCTTTCTCCTTCCTGTGGCTTGAGACCTTCATCATTCTGTCTCGAGGCTCCAACATGTGAATTTTTCATTTAATTTTGATGTACAGAATGCAATGAAAGTTTCCCTCTTTTCGCCTAATCAACACTTGTTGGTCATTTCATTGTTTCTGTTGTGTAGCTGATTTCCAGTTCCCCCCCCAACTCCCAGACGTTATATTATATTTCTGGATGAATCTTAACTTCTGCTGTCTTTTATATTTCAGTTTATTTAATTTTGCTTGTACTATGGTCAGTTTTCTTATTTGGAGTACTGTGAAACAAGCTGCCCTTTAGTTCAGTGCTTGGCACGTCACAGGTCACAGCTAAAAATGTTCAGAAAATTGTGGACCTCGGTGATGAACTTTCAAAAGAGTAGAAATGAGGGAAGAAGAGGAATGTAAAATATGAATTTATCAGCACAGAGAAGTGTTTCTTACCAGTTGCTTGCCCAGTAAATGGTGCAGAGTTTTTTCCTCCCACCCCAGCCATGAGGGAGGAAGGCTCTGGGTGCAAAGCTCCTGTGCTGATGCTAAGCCAGGCTCAAGCCACTGCAGATTTGGTGTATTTGCACTAAAGATCAGAAGGTATTTAATCTTTATGGAGCTGCCCATGGCTCTTGAACACGTGTGCAGAACTAAGTTTTTAATTTTCTTAAAAACCCTTCGTATTGAGACTCGAGGGAGGAGAGCAGCCATAGTTCCTGTATCCCTGGTTTTCCATCCCTGAGGGGATTGTAGGGGAAACCCCTCAGCTTAGCAGGCAAAACAATGTCCCAGATACCAAAACCACGACCTTCCTGTGGCACCAAGCTGCTCTGAGAAGGGTCAGGGTCACCCCCCCAGGGCATCCAGGCAGGGAATTTGGTTTTCAGCAGCCTTGGGTGCAGCCACGTCTGACAAGAACAGCTACAAACCTGAGCGTGGTTTCTGACCACTCTGCCCAACATTCCCTGGCTTTTGAGTCGTTGCTGTGCCAGGATCACTCAGAGCTGTTAGCCAGGGCTGCGTGTAGGAACAGGGGCAGGATTTCAGAGGTGGCACAACTCTGTCTGATCTTCAGTCAACAGCAAAAGGGCAGGTGACAGGCAGCAGTTCAGGACCTGCTGGAAGCCAGGGAGTGCACAGGGCTGCTGAGGCTGAAATAACATGATTTTCCCACACATGTCAAAAGATTTAAGCAAAGCTGCAATCAGAGGTGTCATCCTCTGGTTGAGTAAAGCTGTAACACACACACGTGTCCTGTGGGTGAACCCCTGGCGTCTCCAGAGGAAAAAGTCACCTTGTGGCGTAGTTTAAGTGACATTTTGGGTGCTGTGGCTGGAGGAAGGACGGGATGTGCCCGAGGGAATGTGGCTCTGGTCCTCTTCGAGGCTCTGGGTGGGATTTCCTCGGGCACAGAGCCATGGTGGGGTGGACTGGCCTGCAGGTCTTACCAGACCAAATAGTTTTGAGATGCACCCTCCACCCCCCACTTAGAAGGGCCAAAAATGTCCCCATTTAAAACCTTTTTGAAAGATCAGTTTCAGATAGTGTCCAGTGTTGCAGAGAGAATTTTAAAAATCCAGGCAGCAGGGAGGGTTAAATATTCCACCACAACTCTTGTTTGTATCTTTTTTTTTCTTTCACCGGTGTCACTTCAGTGTTTGTATTTTCTTTGTAGCATCAGTAGGATTCTGTTCTGCAGGGTTTTTGTTCTTACAGGGGCCACAGAATAAACTGATGGGAAATCAGCACAGTTTGATTGGGGGGAAAAAAAAGGCTGTGCTGTCTTGGACTGGTTGAACATTTGGACCTATGTCTCAATATTTGGGTAGGAGGGAGATGTGAGACTCGAGGCCTCTTGTCTCAAAAGAGGTTTTCATGATCCTGCAGAGGATTTATTTTATTTTTCCATGCCTTTTCTCTTCTTGTTTGCTTCTGGTTTTGCTGACTTAAGTGCAGGTGTTTCCAGGAAGTAGCTGACTAGGGAAGGAGGGTTTGTTCAGAGTTGATTGAGCACTTTAATACTTCTGTGAAGGTTTAAGACAATTAGAATGTAAAAGAAGTTTTATTATAAGCTCTTTATATACGCACAATGCTCTGTATAACTGTTGCCAAAGAATTGAGTCTGAAAGGTGTCAAGAGCTGTTGGGAGAGTCCGTGGGGTTCACCTGGCACTGCAAGGTAGGGGGAAGCTTCTGAAATGAGTGGATTTTGGAAGTTGCTGTTTGACAGCTGCCACAACGATCAGAAACTGGGGATAGAATAAAATTCTACTCTCACACTTGTAGTTTTTGATCCTTGCGTTGAATGTAGGAGCTAGAAGTGAGCTTGACAATTAAAATTGGATTTGTACCTGACTGGTTTTGTTGGTCTGAGACTTTATTTTGTTGCTTTTGAAGACATTCTTGGTATATTTTGTGTGGGATTTGATGTGTTTGTCCATGTAAATGAAGGGAAGTTGGTGAAAAGTTGCTGAACAAGCAATGCAGCACTTTTGGGATTGCTTAGGAAGTGCAGCTGAGAACTGCACTGCAACAACCCCAAACTCCCTGGCACCAACATTTGAAGTTATTTAATAAATTCCAAGCTCCTCTTGGATGTGCAACAGTGCTGCCAAAGGATGGGGATGCAGTAAAGGGGTTCAGCTGGTTTGGCTCAGAGCTGCTGCTGGTGAAGTGGTCCAAGATGAGCCCCAGGACTGTGGGACACAACACGAGCTTCCTGATGATCCAGGGAGCTGGGAATGCTCTGGAAAGAAATTGGGTAGATGGCCACACTTATCTTCCCCAAAATTCCACATCCCCAGCTGCACCCAGAGACTGAGACTTTGCAAATTTCTGCTCGTGATTTTTGGCTGCTTTAGGAGCTGCTGCTGGACTGTGCTCTGTGGACACTCCTGGGAGGAGCAGGAAGTTCCCCCAAAGTTGAAGAGAGCTGGAAAATGTTTGGAGGTGGGAGGGAAGGGGTTGGTTTGGGGAAGTTCTTATGGAGTTCTCAGCAACAAGAAAATGACCTGAGATGTCACATCAGCAAAAGCAGCTCCTGTTTTCCAGTGTGTCCCACCAGGCATCCACACCATCATTGTCACACGTTCATTACTCCTTCCCAACCTTTTTTGTTCGTTGCATTCTGAATCTGCCCTTTGCAGGGTTTTGACCTGCCTAGAACACGGATGGGCAGAGCCAGGGGATGTCTCAAACACTTCTGTTGTGTCTGTTCCCCCTAAACTCAGTGCAAGCTGCTTGCTGTCATCTCCTGACCCAGCTCTCTGTTTCCCCAGCCCTTTCTAGAAGCTGGTTCTGGAATTTCCACGGTGGGAATGCTGCCCAGGTGCTGAGAGGGAATTTTTTTTTTTTTTTGAGAACCTGAGCCTGTGTCTGGCAGTGGCTGCTCCTTGGGGCTCCTTTGCCACATAAGCAATGATGAAGGATTTGTTACTGTCCAGCACTTGGACTTCCCCATCCCTTCAGAAATCTCCTTTATGGCCCCTGCTGTAGTTGGGATGTCTCCCTTTCATCTGCCAAGCTTCCAAAACAATCCAAATAGACATAATGGAAGTTGGGTTGTTTTCTGTATTGAGGCCTGTGAATGTTAGAGGAGAATCATCCCTAATTGTTTTCCTGTCTAATTAAAGCTTGGAAGGACCAAACCCTGGCCCTGCCACTCGTGGCTGCAGCGCTGCTTGCAAAGAGCAAACCATGAACGTCGTGGGCACAGCAGAGGGGAGGGAGTTGTTGCAGTACAAGCTTTAGAATCACAAATTAGCACTTTCCTCTTTGGCTTTTGGGTGTTTTCCTTTCACACTTCCCTGGCTGTGTCTTTCTTTGCCTTGTACAAAACGCTGCATGAGCTGGGACTGCTTGGCTCTGCTCTGATGTCACATTAAATATTGAAGAGCCTGTCCTTGGGGAGCTGCTGCCTTCTGCTCCCCATCTGCCTCTCCTGCAAAGAGCTGCTCACTTGGAGAGTCTGCTCTTCATCCATGAGACAAATTCCTGCTGCTGCACCAGCAGTGCCCCTCACTCAGCCACAGAAGGGGAGCAGAATGCAAAGAGTTGGGGCAAACGGCTTGAAAATAAAGTTTCTCCCTCCTGATCTGAGTGATGCTGGCACTTCTTAGCACGTGGGGAGAACCAGGAGCTCTGCAGCAGTGAGGTGTTTGTGGTGTGGTCAGGGGCTGCAGGAAATCCTATCAAATTCAACTTTGGGGGATTGATTTCAGTGCTGGGGAGGCTTCTGGGAGGGCTGGGTGCAGTTCTCATCTGCCCAGCAGCAACAGTTGGTGTTTTGGAAGGCTTGTTTGAGGTAAGTTTTCCATGGCTGGATGAGCTGGGTGGTTCTGCAGTGTCTGGGAGTGAGATCAGAGGTGGCTGGAGCAGAAGGTGCAGCCCTGGGTGCTCTGAGCATCCCCAGTGCTGGGGCTGAGCTCTCTGGTGGCAGTGACAGAGCTCGGGCTCTGTCCCCTCCTGGCTGGAGCTGCTTCCCCTGGGAGCTCTGCTGGCACCTCTGCTGTTCAAAGCATCACTTTTCTCCAATTTGGGACCAGTGCCACTGATTTCAAACAGCACCTCCAGGGGAGCGCTGCTCTGCTTGAGCAGGATTTTATGGGATTCAGGAATGGGTTGGGTTGGAAGGGACCCTAAAGCTCATCTCATTCCACCCCTTCAGGGCAGGGACACCTTCCACCATCCCAGGCTGCTCCAAACCCCATCCAACCTGGCCTTGGACACTTCCAGGGATCCAGGGGCAGCCACAGCTTCTCTGGGCACCCTGTGCCAGGGCCTGCCCACCCTCCCAGGGAACAATTCCCTCCCAATATCCCATCCATCCCTGCCCTCTGGCAGTTTATCCATTCCCTGTGTCCTGTCCCTCCATCCCCTTCACTGCAGAGCTTCCCTTGCCTGCCCAGCTGTTGGCAGCTCCCTCCCATCTCCACCATTTCTGATATTAAAGGGTAATTATAATCTGGAAGCTGCAGCCCCTGGCATGTGTTGGATGTGTCCATTTGGAGCTGGGCTGTGCCCTGAGGTGCCCAGCAGGTCCAGTGGATCCATTGCCATGGGAGAAGGAATATCCAGCTGCAAAGCACAGCAGCCACTGGGGAGGGAGGGAGGGAGGGAGGGAGGAGCTGCTGACTGACCCTGGGAGAGTTTAGCCTGTGGTGTCTGGTGGTTTCATCAGTGACTGAGAGCTCTGCTATTTTTGGGGCTGTTTATCCC